AGAGAGGTCCAAATCCCCAAATCCTACATAGTGTAGCTTTAATTAAGTTCTGAGATTTTACAAAAATAAGGGTTTTTTCCTTATTTTTAAGTCAAATTTTAAAAATAACTGTGCATTGATATTTGCAGACAGAATATCGTTTTTAAAAATAACTTGCTACAGAGTACTTCTTTTCAATTACAAAATAAACAAAATATTTAACTTGACAGGGTGCCCAAACTTTTGCAAACAATAGTTTAGTCACTTTAATAAATATGTAGTCAGTTCACAGTGCAGTACATGCATTATGCCTTTGCTTTTGAACTATATATGTCAGTGTACGTTTGCTGGCTTGGAAATTGTCCAGATTCACCTGTTTCCATTGGCAGGTCTTTTGCATATGGTTGTAATTAATGCAGCCTGAAATCAATTCACAACCACACACTATTGTTGGTAATTTAATCATTCTGCATCTTGAATTACTTACAAAACTGTAAACCTAGACATATCAAATCTGAATCAGATATTCAAAGGCTCATCTCACCATTTGCATTTGAATAAATTCTTACTCTGCATAAAAATATTTAAGAACATATACATAGTCAGATACATAGTGAGATAGATGGTCATCCCAGTTGAGGCAATCTCATCAGGGGACCACAGAGTGTCTTGACGTGTACAAATCCTTTGCCTGAGGAATATTCAGTCAGCGTTTTGCTTTATCTTTTGTGTTGTTTTTACCAGCTATATATTTAGTGATTTTCTTGTCTTTTAAAATATTTTAATTACTGGTTTATTAACTCACTGACCTGTATAGCTGTATACAAACCTTTTTCCTGAGGAATATCAGGTTAGTGCTTTTGCTTTCTTAAAAATATACTATTGTTTTCAACTGTATATTATGGATTTTTCTTAATCTGATTTTATTTTAAATTGATTTATTTGTTTTTGTAATCTTTGTAAAAACAATATAGGGGAAAAAACATGAACAGCAGCACCTCTACCAATGTATCATACGTTTACCAGTGTCTGGAGTCTTACCCGGGAGCTATCCTCTCACATACTGCTGGATATAGTGACTTCTTCTTCATACCCCTGCATTGCTGGATCCTTTGGTTGGGTACAAGAGGAATGAAAGCAGGTGGAAGCATAGCCCCTTCTGATATACTCACCATGAACCTAGCTATGGCTGAGCTTGTATCATGTATAAGTTTTTTCCTCCTAATTTGTTCTGCTATTTTCAACAGCCACTTCGTCTTGTACTTTGGTTTATTGTTTGGTGGAACCCAATTGGTTGGGCGTCCTTTGCTGAACAGCTTAATTTGTGTGGAACGTTATGCAGCTGTGGTTTATCCAGTTTACCACAGGCACAGCTCTTCCAGACAGAGATACGTTGTGGCCGGGGTGGTTTGGATGGTGATTTTAGGTTATGGTGCGGTAAACATTTGCACTTTCCCAGTATTCCCCACAGCACTGTTCACATCCTTACACATGGTCGATTTCCTGATGATCACCAGCTGTAGTCTGCTAATGCTGAGGGCCCTAGTGAGACCAGGTCCAGGTGAAAGGGAGAATAAAGAGATGCAACATAAGAAAAGGAGAGTGTTTCTAATTATCACAACCATCCTGGTTGTTCTAATGATTGCATATGGCCCATTTTTAGTAGTGTTCATTATAAAGGATGAGCTCTCAATCAATACTTTCTGCGCAATGCTGGGAATCAGTCTGTGGTTTTTCAAGCCAAGCTGTGTAATACAGCCTCTTCTTTATCTCTTCAAGTTACGCAAGTTGCCATGCATCAAAGCGGCTTGAACAGCAACCTGGAGGTGCAGATATAATATACAGCTTTGTACAAAATCCATTTGCAGTGCGTACTTTAGTGCTTAATCAATCTCTGCTTGATATGATTTACAAAATTGCTTTATCTTGTATAACTGATTGCTAATATAGTAACAACTATTAGATATTCTAGCTCAAAACCTTCATAAAAACATTGGGCCTCATTTATCAATATCTTCCTATGTTTTTCTTAAATTTGTTCTTGTGAAAGGTCCTTAGAAGAAGTCTATGTCAGATTTATGACGGGTTCTTAAACCACAGAATTGCTCTTGAGTGTGTGTAGATTTTGTTCTTACCTAAGGAAAAATCCCAAAAAAGAAAACATTCGTGAATGTCAGAATCTTTATGAAAACTGTGTGTGTTTTGAGAATGTAAGAAAGGCTGGTGAATGAGGACCATTGTTATTAATCTTGTAGAATGATGTACTCATAAACTCATAAACTAACTGACTAAACAGACTGACACTAAAGTTTTTTTGACTTAGTCACCTGTAGTGACCATTTGCATTTTTATAAAGTGTTTCACTGAAATGCATTTTATTATTTACATTATGTCTATTTATGTTTATTTATATAAGAAACCATAGAATAATCACTTAAGTACAACAAATAAATAAATTACCTGAATTTATGTGTTTTTCTTTTCTTTCATTTTATTCAATGCTGCAGTGAAAAAATGTAAATATTATAAATATAAGAATGGCAAATGTGACATACTATTGATAAAAACAAGAAAACAATGTTAATTACAGAAACACACTGGAAACAGCTGTAACCTTGGCTGTAACTAATAACATTTCAAAACCTGGCCTAATGAAAAGTGATCTGAGTCACTTTAGATTATTGATTACTGTTACTGATTGCAGCTTCAACAAGTTAATAATTAACCTTTAATGAAATATTTTTATACATGCCCATGATCTCTCACCTTTACAAAACTATGTGGGGAAAGCTAGCTTAGTCAATCAGATAATAAAGTTAAAGTTTTTGATGTAACTAAACAGTCGAGACCTTTGGCTCTATCAGGACATTTGCAAACACAATCCTAACTTCTGTTTCAACAATCTTTGCAAAAGGCTTTGACCACTTCTAAGGTTGGCTATTACTTTGTTAGGAAAGAAAGAAGGAAGGAAGGACTTGTTCTAGACATGTTCCACCCACAAATGTTATTTCATAGCAATTGTTGTGAGGTTGTACAAACTTTAAAGAACATTGGCAAATGTAGTCATTTCAAATGATTTTTATTGCATATGTCTATAAGTGGTTACACTGTTAGTTGGGTGTAGTTTTCATAGTGTAATTCAGATACAGGGACTGCAAATTGTACATTGTTGTTACATTCAATCTACATAGATTTGATTAGCTACAATAAAGTCCAGCTCAGTAGTTTAGTGTTTTAGACCAGAAACTGAGCATTATGTAGTGACTCTAAACAAATATTTTGGAAATCTACTGTGAATCATTTACAACAAAATGAGTTGTGTGCTAACGTTTTTCATTTGGTTGAATGAGATTTTTGCATTATTTGAAGCTGGTGCAACCTACAAAGCAGCTACATTAGAACAGTAGCTATGAAAGAATGCATGTGAAAGAATGGCAGTTCATGAATAAGTATTTCAAATATAAAATTCAAATAAAATCTGCCAATTTTCTACCAAAATTTAATCCCTCTGTCTCTGGGTAGCCCTGCGATGGACTGGCGACCTGTCCAGGGTGTAAGTTAATGTTTTGCTTTTTAGTGTGCAGTAAATACTTTTAGCAAACATACAAATTAACACCCTCTGATATACTCATAATGGATCTATTTGTAACTGAGCTTATGTCACATTGTAGTTGTTCCCATAATAATAATATTGTTGATTTTAAAAGCCTTAAACACAACATTTAAATACAGGATACGTCACTTAAATACAAAATGCCCTCTTTAAACATAGCTAACTGTAAATGCTCCTGCTTGTGTTTATTGTAAGTCGTACTCAATTGCTTGGCAGAAAAGGAAACTGTGGCAGTTGCTCAGGATTAATAAATATGCAATTTATTCATGAATATGAAACAAAAAATCCTTGGGCACTGTGAAACATGGTGGTGGCAGCATCATGGTTTGGGGCTGTTTGTTTCTATTGGACCAGGACAGCTTGTTATCATTTAATGAAGCTATGAATTCTACAGGAGAATGTCAGGACATCCATTCATGAACTGAACCTCAGTTGGGTGGGTGGGTCCAGCAGAAAGACAACAAACCTAAAAACATCATTTAGTCTACAAAGAATGGCAGAAGAAGTGTTACATTTTAGAATGGCTTAGCCAAGTCCAGGCTTTAATGCAATAGAAAAGTTGTGGCAGTTCTGTGAGGAGGAATGAGCCAAGATTCCTCCAAGTCAATGTGCAGGGCTAATCAACAGTTATTGGAACTGTTTGGTTAAAGATATTGGTGCTCAGGGTGGTCACCAGTTCCTGAAAGCAGATTCACACTTTTGGCAACAAAGACATTTAATATTGCATCACTTTGTTTAACAAACGAATGAAAAACTGTTTTTGTTCTTTATTTTATCGCATTCTTTTTATCTATTGTTATGACTTCAATATCTGATAAAATTTTAGGTCACAATTATCTAGAAATTCACATGTTAAAGCGTTCACAAACTTTCAGCATTGTATTTTTCTTTCCTTTTATTCACATCCCCAATGAGAAAATATAAATGTGATTATAGAATGGCGTGTTAAACACGATCAACTGCAAATAAAACAGTATATCATTATAGTACACCACCTATTCATTCCCATTCATTCCTATAGCTTGTCTGGCTGCACCCCTAGTTGACTGAAACGTTTTTTTCTGTCCTCTATTCTTTGGTTTTTTGTTTGATCTGGTTTGATCTGGTGACATGCATGTTAGTAAGCAAAATATATTTGTGCTTTTAAAGAGGCTCTGGACCACAGAACCACACAAAATCAGGGAAACTATTGGGACTCAGCCAGTGTACAGGAGGTTTTGAACGTAGCCTCACACTTTGCCACAGATTCAAGGCGCTTGGTCATGACGTCAGAGCGTTTCATCGCTCCGAGCCTGATGAGCTTCGATTATCCGTCTCAGAAAACACAGACAAAAACAAACAAACATGCCATCAGTGAGATACCTGAACAAATCGCACCTGTTTCCAAATGAACGTGTATATGCCGCTCTAAACAAAGCCGTGCATTATTCTCGTCTATACCGTATGTCTGCTTCAGGCCAGGGTTTGTTATGATGAGGGGCGGGAATTCCAGCAGGGCAAAGAACACAGCCTCCCTCCCTCTCCCTCTCCCAGCCGTCCACTGAGGCGTGTGGACTGACCACGGAGAGACATGGAGGTAGGCTGCAGACCGACGTTTTGTGTGCTTTTAACTTGGTTTATTTGGGTCTTTGAATCACAATAATTACATTACTGTGTGAATATCAACTTGTGGTCTTGAATGCAGCACGAGCTGAGATTGCTGGGAGTTGTTACCCGTCCAAGATTTCCCTCGAATGTCCTGGTTTTTGATTGCCTGTACAAAAAAAATATGAAATGCATTTTTAGATGTTATCTAGTATTTCCTATTAAATTGGCTTCTTTTTATCAAGTCCATTTGTATCCATTTGTATACAAAGAATGGGCATATGTGTGAGAAACATGCACTGCTGGTGACCTGCAGCACAGTAACTAAGAAGACTGGGTTCTGTAGCTAACTCTATATATCTGCATGAAATTGCATTGTGAGCATAGCTACCTGTCCACTGAATTCGTTAAAAAAATAAACAAGCCACTGATTGTCCAGAGTGTCCAGAAATTTATTTTACTCAGCACGGTTAGTTTCATCTGTTAGTCGTTTCTCTAGACGTGTTTGCATGCGCTGTGGGCACAGGCTGGTTTGCTGTAAAGTGCCTTTGCACCCGACAGGTGCCCAAGAAGCTGTTGAACTCGGTGGAGAGGTGTGTAGATGAGGCCTTGGAGGGCACTGTCAGCAGCAATGCGGGACTGGTGCTCCTGAAGGGTCACAGGGTTGTGCTCCGGTCTGACCTCCAGCACTTGAAGGGAAAAGTGGCCCTGCTATCAGGGGGAGGCTCTGGACATGAACCCGCACATGCAGGTAAGTGCCAATCCTCCACCAAATCTTTCATATCAGTATCATTATCAGTTGAGCTGATATTCATTCACTATACCACTTAACAGATGTGGGTAGTATTAACTATACTACATTTAATCAGTACATGGAATTGATGGATTGGTGGATTTGTGCTTCTTTGAATATTTTACAAGATTATAATTACACTCCAGTTTATTTATAAGGAAAGGACTTGGCTGCACTTCAGCCATTGAGTTGCTAATTTCATTTTTGAATTTAAATGTGTTCATTACTGTTGGTTCAGCACCTGGACCACTTTGTTGTTGCTCAGATTTGTTGTTTTTGAGCTTTATCATTTTATTTTAGACCAAAAGGATCTCAAAATAGAAGAATACCACCAAGCAAAGTTTAGTTCCTACGCTAGTAGATGATGGATGTGCTGCGTACCACTGCCGTTCTATAAGAAGCTCTAGGTATTAGGCATCGTAATTATTTCAGTATTGACAGATAAATGCATTAAAAAAATTATATTTGAAGATATATTTATTTTATTCCTGAATAAATAAACTCCTGAACAATGTTAACCCAACAGAAATAAATGTTATATTTCTGTGTAACGGTAATCCAGTAGATCACAATTTCAGATTTGTTTGTGAAACGTCATAGGCAGTAATGTTCATGAAAAATATGAGATATGAGCATTGACCCACAGTTTTCATATAGATGTATCAAGTCGTTTTTTGGCCTGACATTTTTTTACTCCTGTTCATATTGTTTTTGATGGGCTACTTTTATTTCTACATGAGTCATTATTTTAGTGATGTAAAAATTCTTTTAAATGGGTTTAGTTTACTCTGCCAATTTTTTGTTTTCTTGTTTTTTCCCCCCTTATTTGTCAATTTATTCTCCTCAAGGCTATGTTGGCAGAGGGATGTTATCAGGGGCTGTAGCGGGGGCAGTGTTTGCCTCCCCCCCTCCTGGAAGTATTCTGGCAGCCATCATGACCCTTTGGCAAAGTGGTTCTTCAGGCGTTCTCCTGCTAGTTAAGAACTACACGGGTGACCGTCTGAACTTTGGTTTAGCTGCTGAACAGGCGCGTTCACAAGGAGTCCCCGTGGACATGGTGATTGTGGCAGATGACTGTGCCTTTGCCCAGCCCAGTAAAGCAGGCAGGAGAGGACTGTGTGGGACCGTGTTCATTCATAAGGTATTGAACTGAGCAGATGTATACAGAACTCTGTTAGTGAGAGCATTTGGTAGGCCAGCAGGAACTGCTGTGATGTCACCAGTTTAAAGTCCTCTGATGATTTTGCATTTTGATGAGAGAGCTACTCTCATGGTTTAAAATACACTACTGCGCAAAAGTCAGAAAACACACTTTTTATTCAATTTCCAATCAAAACAGTACAGGTTATTTATTTTACAGTGTCAAAAAAAAGCAGGAAGCATACAATTAACAGAAAATTACACAAAAGTTTCAAACACTATGTATAATATTGATTATGTCAGTATTAAATTTGTCCACTATATTTCTGCACTCTATTGCCACTTTTCCATTCTTCCGATCTTAAAACCAACAAGTTGCAACTGTGTTCTTCCACTGAAAGCTGTTCCTAAAGGAGTCACTGACATTCTGTTCTTCTTCAAAGAGATGCTAACATTCACACAAGCAACTTCCCAAACTCACCTTAGCTGCTCTGCAAATTTCTTTCTCATGTTCTCATCACTGTGTGTCTGAAAGGATGTGTAGTTGTCAAGAAGCTGTTACTGAGAAGAGGAAATAGACAAAAAGAAGAACATTTGTACTAGAACACCAAAACTGGACATCTGAGAAGGTGGTGTCACAGATCACAGATTCTTGTTTTTATTACATTTTACAAAATGTTTCAACTTTCCAGGAAATGGGGTTTGTAAATTTGTAATTTAGATTGCTTGGGTTGCAAGAAGCACAAAATGCAACCAATTTCTAAGACTTTGGAGAAAAGAATGAAAGTTGTAATAAAGGCAAGTAAATACTAAAAAAAGATAATGCTTTTTTTGCTGAAAAATTAATAATGTAGTGGCCATTTGACTGGTAATTAAATAAATAGGTCTTCTCTATACAGTACTGTTTTTAGGAGTTTGATATCAGTCTTCTTGTTGTTCGTGATTATTCTGTTGTTGTTTATGGCCTGTTTATCTGTAGCTGGCTGGAGCACTGGCTGAAGAAGGATGTCCACTAGATGGGATTGTTGCCCAGTTGACAAAGGCAACAAAGAGCATTGGTGAGAATAATTTTTCGTTTTATTTCACTTGATGCTATTTCTGCCAGAAAATCATTTTCTAATATCAAGGCTGTGGTCACTCTGCTGTAGGCACTCTGGGCGTCAGTCTGTCACCATGCAGCGTACCAGGATGCCAACCCTCCTTTCAACTTCCACCTGGAGATATGGAGCTAGGACTGGGTGAGATACACAAGAAGTCTGTATTTACGACCTTTTTATGTTGAATGATTAATAGACTTCTTGACAGAGTTATTAAATTATATAACTGAGCATGCCTGTGTCTGTTCAGGAATTCATGGAGAGCCAGGCATTAAAAGGTCCAAGGTTAGTCCACTGTTTGCTTCTGAGCAGCTATACTGATATTAGCTAGATCAGTTTATAGCATTTTTCAGCTAAATCCAAAGCAACATTAACTACTTTTGAATATAACTTACTGCTACCTTGAAGTTAATTTAAAGGAAATTACACATAAAGCTAGTGTATCATCTGCTTTTTTATCTGCAAGATTCCATTTAAATCCCTTTTCTACTGCTTTACTTTTAGATGGCCCCTGCTGATGAGGTTGTGAAAACAATGATTGATCACATGACTGACCCCTCCAGTCAATCACATTTGTCCCTGAAATCAGGTATGCTGTAATGCACAGTGGTTCAATGTAATAGATTTATATTTATATTTGGATCGCATGTGAAGCTTTGTGGGAGTTTCTAAATGCCTGATTTTCTTCTACAGGAGACAGAGTGGTTCTCTGTGTGAATAATCTTGGTGCTCTGTCCTGTTTGGAAATGGCCGTCGTCACCAGAGCTGCCATTAATTATTTGGGTGAGTGTAACATGATTGAGATTAATGAGGTTAATACAGTATTTCAGTTGTACAAAACTTTAGTACATTATACAAATCCAGAGGGCAAGCAATAGAAATAGATATGGACTCTTTCATCTTCACATTTATTTATATTTTGAACAATTTCTAGTGGAATCTGAAATATTCTGTTTGAAAAGACCCACTATCATGTCGTGCACTGTGTAGAAATGTGTATTGAAGGCTTACTTTATCCTTTTTAGGAAAAAGTCATCCATGACTATCTAATGGTGTTTCTGGGTCATTTTTGTTTGTTCTATGTTTCACCACATTATTCCTACATGATAAAAACTTATCAGTATCTTCTAGTTTTAACAAAGTTAATAAGAATGGCTTTAGACAATAATTTCATTGTGAATATTGCAATGTTAAATAAGGCTTTTATTTGTACTATAGGTGAAAGCTTGTTTTAGCATGCTCTATTTGCTGTGTCTCTAGCGACTCGTGGAGTCCAGGTTTCCAGGGTGATGTCTGGCTTTTTCATGACATCACTGGAGATGGCGGGTGTATCTCTGACTCTGATGAGAGTAGATGAGGAGATACTTCGACTGTTTGGTGAGTTCAGTCCAAGCAGTTTGTAGAGTATCAAAGCTTTAACTTATTTATTTTCCATTGATTATTTTTCCCTGCAGGTAATCAGATTTCGCTCTATAAAGTTCTGAAGTGAGACTAAGTTATTGTCCTATTGTAGGATACATGGCAAATTGAAGCTATATGCAGAAGAGCCGGAATAAGAGTATTAAGTAATTTATTAGAGCATGAACTACAGCCTTACCTACTTCAGCTCATTAAAATATTCAAAGGTTTTCAAAGGTTGTATACATGTCTATTAGATTTTATTAGAACTGGGTGTATCCTGATTTTATATTAATGTATAGTATATTTTGTGTATATAATATGTACTTGCATAAGTCCAGTATAGTAAACTATGGTACTTGTACAAATTTGCTATAAGATTCTTGTAGGAGTCCTATAGAAATGCCTGTAGTATTACTACAGATATTTTTTTCATAGGAGTATGTTAATAGTAGTGTGTTAATGTTTCTATTTTTAGGCTACCAGAGCATTCAAGATAAAAGTACAATATCTGATACAAACCTGTGCTGTAGTGTCCCAATCTAACATGCTAGCCATAAGCTAATGTTAGCCCCAAGTTAACCAGCAAACTTGATAGTCACGATACAACGATACAGTATGGTCCATTTCGATATGTTTTGATACATCATATGTTGTATCATAACTTCTGTAGTTAGATCTAAATCCTTCAGTAATTGACCAATGTATAACATTTTTGGTCATCTTTGCATTATTCTAAATTTTGGCATGAGACTCAATGGATCCATTATGTATTGAAACTCTGTTTATTAAAGCTATGCTGTGCAATTTAAATGCTTTTGCAATTAAAACCTCTTGCAGATGCTGAAACCACAGCCCCAGCCTGGCCCAACCTCAGCAGTGAGAGCGTGACTGGGAGGAAACTGTATGTGGAACCCGCAGAGAGACCAGCAGCCTCTGAGATAAAACCTGACCAAGGTAGAGAGGCAGAGAGCAACATGCAGAATACCCCCAAAACCTCATGCCATTCTGTCTTTTTACTGATTTCACCCACCAGCGCCAGTGTTCAATGGCAGACCACAAAAAAAAATTTGTTGTTAGTTGCTTAGTTGAAACATCACCATTGTATTAATTATTTACAATGTAGTTAGTGCATCTAGGCAGACATTACTTAATTAACATATGACATTTGGGGGATTTTAATGAAAATTGTTTTTGGCCGTTAGGTCCTTTCACATTGGTCATGCGTGCAGTTTTGGAGTCTGTGTGTAAAACCCTCCTGCAGCGGCAGGAGGAGCTCAATGCCTTGGATCGTGCAGCTGGGGATGGAGATTGTGGGAGCACACATGCCCTTGCTGCTAACGGTAAGGCATGTTTATATAGGTTTTGTGCAAAACTCAAAGACCACCCTTCAGGAAGGGGAAAGTCAAAGGAAAATAAGTGAAATATGACATATGTCATAAAGATACAGAGAAAATGAAGCTCATAACAATCATACAAGACCTGGCAAACCACCAAAAAGCTTTCATCTCTGAGAGAGAGGAAAAAATCAAGCTCCACGCTTCAGAACTGAAGAAAATGCAGGTGTTTATGAACATCATTCCACTGTGAGAAGACAACTTGGTGCTATGGGTCTAATGGGCTGTACCTATCAAGTAGTCTTTACTGAGAAAAAATTGTAAATCAAACAAAGAAGCTGCTGATGTTCTCTTAACAATGGATTGACCACCCCAGAGTCCAGACCTCAATGTGATTGAACGCGTTTGGGATTATTTGAACTGTGAGGAGCAGAAAGTATAACCAACTTCTAAAACTGAACTTTTGAGTTGTAAAAACACATCCTTTTTATTTCTTTTCAAAAAACGAAAAGCAAGTGTTTTGACAAAACAAAAGCTGTAATAACAGCAAAAGATGAGCACACAAAATCATTGTTTCCCAACCTGGTCTTCAGGGCCTTTACCAGCCTTTTGTTGCTCCCATCCTGACATTTTTGGAACATGTTGTTGGCACCAAATTCAAAATGGGCATACATTTTTCAAAAAACAATAAAATTTCTCACTTTCAGCTTTTGACATGTTGTCTTTGTACTATTTTCAATAAAAATAGGGTATAAATGATTTGCATGTCATTGCATTTTATTTTTATTTACATTTTGCACAACGTCTCACCTTTTTTGGGTTGTACTTTTTTCTCTGACACTAAAAAATTGAATCCCCTAAAGGCCATTTTTATTGGAAATGAATAAATGAAAGGTGGTCTCTGACTTTTGCATTGTACTGTATAAATTTTTTTATGTGGGCTGTAATTTTTATATCACTACATTTTCCTACATATTCCTGTCCTGTGTCACCCACTACAGCCATTCAGGAGTGGATGCACACTAGCACCATCCCAGGAAACCCTTGCCTTCTGCTGACAGCTCTTGCTAGATTGGTGGAGGAAAAAATGGGTGGCTCTTCAGGAGCGGTATGTAGATATCCATCAGATAAACTTTCAGTTCATACTATAATAGCCTCAACCCGAGGGTCAGTGTTACAAATGGTGTGATTCATGTAGAACCAAAGGGGCTGTATTCCAGATTTCAACCTAAAAAGAAAAAAACAAACAACCACAAATAGCAATAATCATACCTTACAAAATGTGTGGTGTACATGTGTCAATAACGGCACTATAGAAGGTCTCTGTAAATGCATTAGGGCTGTTGTCTGGGCTCAAAAAATGATTTAAATTTAATGTAAATTTAAATATACCAATTTTATTTAAATTTGTCATATTTTTCCACAAATGTTCTCTTCTAATGATATGTAAAATTCAAAATAAAATTTGAAATAAAAAGTTCAAAATGCAAAAAAAAGAATGAAAATTATGTCTCCTACATCCACAAGAGGGAGCTCAACATGCATATCAAAAGCTCACATTGTTATAAACCAGTTATTGTCACGGTCACTGAGAACCACAACTTTAAACTGCAAATGTTATACACTCCAGAAACTGAAGGAGCATCATATAGTCCTTTTTAAAGGTTTAGGTGTCATCAGGGCCTTGTACACATTAGTATGATACTTGTCCTCCATGTTTCTCACTGTCTGACAGCCTAGCCGCTAGAAAATAAAAATGCACGATGTGTTAAGATGTGGCTACACCACCACCCTCACCCCTACTGGCACTCTGCCATGGCACAGATTGTAGACAGATTGTGAAATTTTAACTGGACTTTTTCTACATTCGAATATGATTTTTTTTTCCTTTAACTCAGTGAATATTTGAATTTTAATATTTATTTTGATAGCTTTACAGTAAGTGTTGCTTTGTTGCTCTCTTCCCTTAGCTGTATAGTCTGTTCCTGACGGCGGCTGGTCCCAAGCTGAGAGAAGGTTGTGATGGAGCAGACTGGGCCAAAGCAATGCATGCTGGGACAGAAGCCATGAAAAGGTGGCTCTAAATGTATCTAGGCTTATCTCTGCAGCATTTAATTGTCCTCTAACAATGCACCACTGCACAAATTAGCTTGAAAGGCTTGTCTTAATGCTCGTAGGCCACTAAATAAAATCTTACCCAGTAAAAGTATGTAGTTTTGCTTAAAATAGATGGAAGAATAGGCCTGTCCATGATCATGAAATTTTAGCTGGCACTTAATTTCCGCATATAGATAATTGTGATTAACAGTTTAATTAAATTGGTCAATCATCTGTAGTTTGTAATAGATGTTTCCAGCCTAGTAGAATCTCCAAAACACTGTATATCCATTTGTAACAATTTGGGAAATAATACATTTTTGAAAAGAATGTCAGCCAATGTATAATAGAAAACATCTCTGAAAAAGGTGGTATTACAACACTGAAATTTCTTGTATGTGTAAAGCCCACTCCCAGCAACATACATCATAGAAAAGGAAATTCCTGATAGTGATCTCTAATGCGTTATGAATCGAACCCCTTCAAATAGTTTCTTGTATGTTTTGATAGGTATGGAGGTGCAGCGCCTGGGGACAGGACTATGGTAACACTTGTTCTGTCTATGTTTAAAATAATTATGATTACATATTACATATTATTTAGATCTACTGTTTTAGTAACATTACTTTCCTTGCCTTTCAGCTGGATGCCCTGTGCCCTGCTGTGGAAGAATTGATGAAGTTATCCACAGCTCCTCCAGGTGGCCATATGGCGGTCCTGCAGGCAGCAGTGGAGGTGCGGTACACTAGCACTCGACCAAATGCATGTCGTCTCTCTATTTTATCCATGCGTTTATTCATTCTACATTACACATTTATTGTTCCTGGCTTATTGTCACAATTGTCCTTACTTTCTTCCCCTACAGAAAGCAGAAGTGGGTGCAGAGTCCACTCGTGACCTCGCCGCAAAAGCAGGCCGGGCAAGCTATGTTGCATCTGAACATCTGACCCAACCTGACCCTGGGGCGGTCGCTGTAGCTGCCATTTTCAGAGCAGTGTTTGAGGCTCTGGGAGGGAAATGATCTACGCTGGTATAATGACATGATTTGCAGATCAGAATTAATTTAACTGAGTGTTAAAATCAACTATTAGAGATATTCACATATTATCAGTATGGATAAATCAACTGATATCATATGTATTTACTTAAATGGTGAACACAATTACTATGCTGTCATGGCATGTAATGGCAGATGGAATAAAAGGGGACATCCCCAATTTTTTCAAAATTACAGTATATTTCAATCATCAAGAAGTGTAGAGAAACTTGCCAGCTCTGATTTCTTTGCAGTGGTGGTGATAGGAAACAGGAAACAGTACTGTCTTGCATGTACCTCTCTGCCATAAATGTTTTTAAAAAATATGGTTTAATTATTTCAAGACTATCATAATCAGCATTTCAGATATCATGCAACCCATTATGACCATTTTGCATGATAACTTTCTGTGATGTAGCTTTTAGAGGCAGATGTCTGGTTCCTGTGATTACCTCTGTGAACATTTCTGATGTGGTAAGTTTATGTGGAATAGAGCATTCCTCATCAAACCACAGTGAATATCTTTGTTTACATCTTAAACACTTAATTATGCAGCAGTTTTGAAAAAACAGTGGACTTCCTCTTAACTATAATAGTATTTACAATTCTACTTGCTACAGTTAAATTCACTGAAGCTGTACTTTAAAGGGGCTGCATGGTGGTCTTGTATTCTTTTTGAAAGCTTTTGTGAAAAGCATAACAAAGCACTTTAATTAATTTCCATTCTAACCATTTCAATGCTAATATGTATTCTGTAAGAATATTGAGAATGAACAAAATGACAAAGTTCTAATCAACTGGTGATTAACTGGTGATCAGAACTGTGCAGGACCTTTAATGACTGAATGGGACCATGTCATAGAAAATGGAGAATTTTTCCAGACTGAATTCAAATGCACTTTAGATTTTTAAAATGCACAATTTGATTCATTTAGTGTGAAAAGAAACTACTTGCAAGAATCACTGTGACTCAAAGGTCATTTTATTTTGGATTTGATGTAACAAAGTTAACACTAACATTACTAACATTAGTAATGTATAAAATTGAACCTAATAAATTGTAAATTAATGAATTTGCTTAATAAATTGTATTAATATGACATAGCAAGTGCAATTTATCGTTGCTGTCCAAAGAAAATATAATGAAGGGTGAATGAATGATGAACATCTCCAAAGTGAAAACTTCACAGAAGAGGCCAAAACATTCTTTACTTGTAAGTTAAGGTAAAGAAAAAAATTGTTTTCAAAACAGATTTGAAATTTAAAAATTGTATATTTTCATACAGTGTAAAGGGCAGCTGCCATGTTTAAACGGTGTAGAAAAATAAAAATTGTGTGTGTGTGCGTGTAAATAAACCTTTATAGCACAGTAACACATCATCAACACACACACACATTTTATACCAACAACAAACAACATAAACAACAGCACCACAGCAGCAACTGTCTTTTCTAACGGAGGGCGGAGGGGGGGATGGCACACATAGTACAGCTTTGCAAACCACACATATACACGTGTGTGTGTATATAGTGATTTTATGTATATCCATAGGTTTGTATGTTCGTATTTCCACACCTCTCCTCGTGGCATTAATTGTAGTCATCATTTGTTAGATCAAGTGTGCTGCTGAAGAAATGTAATAAATCCATGCTTTTGCAAATAATAGAAGCATTGCACCCCAACGTATAAACAATGCGTAATAACATGTAATTATCATATTTCTTGGCTCTGTGGTGCATGTGCAAAGTATATTTCAAGTTGACTCACTGGAAACAGAGTCAAAGTCCATAGCAAAGGCAGATGGCAGATTAGAGCAGAGCAAGTAGAGGGAAGAACCTGTCACACCTGCAGACAGCGTGAGCGTGTTTCATTCTCAAAGGCGTAAACAGGAAGTCGAGCAACCAGCTCTGAGACTGAACAGAGGGACCATTAGGACTGTGAAGCAGACACAGTTGTTTCATTTCAGTCTTTTTCTGCTTGTTTTCACTCTCTGAATCCGTCAGTCTTTTCCTAACTTCCTGTTTCTAATCTTCTCAAATGGGAGGCGGCATGAGAAGCAGCACATGCCGACATTCAGCTTAAACGGACTAACTTGAAGACTTTCAACAGAGGTACTTTCTTTTATGAAGATTTTATCTCTTCAGTGAAGGAAACTGTTGTATTTAGTAGGACTGTGACGGTCATTAGCTCACTTAAAACATAAGTTAAACAGTAATGGACGTTGTGGGTGTGTTTGAAGGTTTATATTACACCAGTTTAAACCAGTAGAGCATCTTTAGTAAATCTTTCTTTAATTCGTATGTGTTAGATTACAGATAACTGAGAACGTCTCATTAAAGTGAGTAAAGGTTGATCTGAGGCGAGTGATTACAGAAAGATGAGGTGGCTCTATCTGGGGGAGATACATTCTTTAAGCATTTTTGTGGTGCATGTGGTGCTTTTCTTATTTTATGTGTGGGTGGTTTAGAATTTGGTCTAATAGTGAATATGTGGATTTAATATACAGAAACCTTGTTTCAAAACCATGTCTGTTTGATTGACCTCCTCTACAGACAGATTTCCTGTGTTTGTTGATTGTTTTTTTTTTTTAAACACACAATTATATTTAGTTCTGTCAAGAGGAAATGGTCCACCAAATTAAGAAGGATGCCACTGCAAATGACTTTTTATAATAGTATTATAATATTGGAGCAGTGTGGCAGCCTTCAGCAGGAAATATTGGTTTAGCAATTTGAAACCTTCAGTTCCTCAGTCTAAACAGAGCCATATCACTGCCCACATCTGCCTACATGTGAAATGTGCTACATACAAATAGATTTAAGAAGATTAATGGCTGCTCAGTTCAAGCTTGATTTAAAAAAAAGAAGAAAAAAAGCCACCCTGAGGTGGATGTAGCTGTGAACATGATATTATGATACTTTCGGTCTCACTCTTTTAACTCTCTGTCTCTTTTCTTTTTCTCTTTATTTTCCTCCTTTTTTATTTTATTTTCTTTCAGATGGAGTTTGCCTGCAGTCATGTTGTTTGTAACTGGAGGCCTGAGAGTCTAGCTGAAGGTAAGATTGTTTATTCAGGGGTTTTAAGTCACCTGTTTTAATTAGCATGGACGCATGACTAATTTTGTTATCCAATAAAAGTGAATGCATAATCCTCAGAACCACTGTTGAGTTCTAAACCAGGGTGTTTTTGGAAACATGATCTAATTTAAAAATGTGAATGATCTCCAAACTATCAGTCTGAACAATTTACTAATTGAACATTCTTTTACACTGTGTTTCATCTGTTGTTGTGGTTAATACAGCACTGTGAAAAAGATCACCCTTCATCTGTTTAACCCCTTAACTGGTCAGGTTTTATCATACACTTGTATAACCTAAGAATAGCTCAACAAGTTTGCACTGAAGTCCTTGTAGAAACTGAAAAATAAGCCTTAGCGTGTGAGATTTTAAGGGGTGTACTTCCAGTCAAAACAGCCATTCAGCCCACGTTATTCATCTTTCAGCATTGGGGAAAAAGCTGCAAACATACCTTTAACAGAAAATTACAGAGAAACATCAAGACTAAATATAATATCACATTTTTCAATATGTAGCGTGTCCACACTTTCAGGAGACTTGCTTTCAGTTTGCCGAAGTAATCTGCAGGGGTCTTTTTCCACACCTTCAAAATTCAGTCTTAGAAGCTGGTTGAGTTTTCTGCTTCTTGTGATCCAAGTATTTGAAGAAACATTCAGTGATGTTGCAGACTGGGCTTCTTTGCTTGATTTGCAGATTTTCTTCCGCTTTATCTATTTCCGTTTCTCAGTAACGGCTCTTTTACAGGTACATATCGTTTCAGACTCATAGTGTTGAGTTGTCTTCTCACAGTGGAAGGATGGACAGAAACACCTGTGGATCTTTTCAGATCTGAATCAAGAGTGGAGCTTGATTTTCTCCTCTCTCTTAAAGATGAAAGCTTTAATTACTGTTTATCTGATGGTGACAGTTTTGGTGGGATTCCAGGTGTTGCGCAGTAGTTGGGAGTCCAAGTTTCTCTATATCTTTTAATCATTTTATGAATTCTAGTTTTGCAAACTCCTGATTTTCTCTTTTTTTCTTTGCCTTTCTCCTTCCTTATGCGAGTGGATTATCTTGTACCTAATCTCCTGAAAAATAAACACTTTCTCCTTAATGGCTATTTTGACTGGAAATAAATGAAAGGTGGTCTCTGACTTTTGCACTGTACTGTATTTAGTCCTGTTCTTTATCATCTTGTATGGTCTCGCTGTATCCTCCAGGTCTTTCCTCCACACTGCCCTGTGGTTTGTCCAGAACACATTCTGAACATCCATACGACAACCGCATTGCTGTCATCCCAACTCCCAGTGAGTTACTGACATCTTTTCATATTATTCAAAACTGTATATGGATTTTTTTACCCTGTGATCCCTCTGCATTGTGTGTGACAAGTACTATAGTTACTTACTTTACATACTCATAGATAATCGATGTCTTAAATTCATGAGGTAATATTAGAAAAAAAAATTTGATTATTAGAAAATCCAAAATTTTGATAAGGATCAAAATTAGGAACAGAAAGATTGAATAGCAGTAAGTGTGTTCTTCCACACTGCATTACATGTCACCCGCTTATCATTGCCCTCTCCTTTCAAACGAGTCCTGCACAATGTCTGTTTGAAATGTCAAGCTGAAAACTGCTTTCATGGCAAAGTCTTTGATATGTCTTTTGACAGTTCAAAGCAAAAAAAAAAATCACATCCTTTTGTGGGTGTGAAGAAAAAAAACAACAGAAGCACTTTCTGGAAAGGTTGCGATCAGAGTAAAAACGCAGTCGTTAATCATTTACTGAAAATGAGCTACTTTGCCACATTATGCAGATTCTGAGAGTATTTTTCACTTTGAGTTTTAAAGTTTCAGTTTGAGTTTTTAAAATGTTTTGTCTTCAGTGCCGTCGGTAACACCACCGCCTGTACCTCCTCGTCGCACAACACAGAAACACACACGACCCACCTCAATGCCACCTCCACTACCCCCTCGAGGTAAGGAATCCCCCTCCTTCACACACACACACACGTTTGTCTTACATTCCTTGTGAGGATTTCTATAGGTTTTTATTGATTTTTGTAGTACTGTAGCCAAATAGTACTACTCCTACAATTAAACCTCACCCTAAACTTGACTTCTGTATCCAAAAGGCAATTTTCCTGCAATTCTTCCTCACATTCTCAAGTGAGGACCTTCATTTTTTGCTTGAGCAAAAAAATATCATGTTGTCCTAGCATTGTGAGGACATGTATTCCTTGCACGAATAGCAAGACATGCACACAAACACATGCACACAAACACACACACAAACGGAGTATAACTACTGATACTTGGGACAAGCGATGCAATTTAATTATTTTTACTTTTTATTTATTTATTTATTTATTCTTAGGTCTGGTACCAAGTAATATAAAGGGCAGTATTCCAATACCACTACAGATACTTTTGAAAACATTGTTTTGTACATAAAAAGGGTGAATTTGTTGCTACTCACACATTAATTTTAGAATTGGCTCTCTGTATAAACAAAATTAAAATTTTAATGAAATGGCTGGAATACATTATGCTTTGTTTTATGTTTGTGCAGTTGTTTTGGTCTGTTATTAGTCTCACAAGTCCGACTTCTGTCTATTGGCAGGTTTGATCAGTATACACTTTCACCTCCACACGCAACCAGGAACAAACTTTTTACTCAGCTTTATCTATTTTTTTTCTCTGAGCTAAAGATGGGTTTTTCACCAGTATTTCACCAGATTCTCGCTCGCTCTTGCTCTCTCTCGCTCTATCTCTCAAGGGCTGGAGGCTAAAGGGCAGACTCGTCTTAAAGCCAACGTAAACGTGGTATCACTCAAAGTAGGAAACCTTGTGGATATAAGCAAAGGTGAGCTACTCGGTGGATGTACATGTGCAAGTGTCTGCATGCGAAGTAACACTTGAATGAAGTGTAACCTGCATCTGGAAACTGAACTGTCCTAACAAATAATTTTCTCTCAGCATCCAGTATACAGAGCAGCCAGAAACCAGTGCACTGTGGGAAATGTAGGGCAGTCATGTCTTCTGTGAGCAACTCACAAACCAACCTGAATTCAACAGTGAGTCATGGTTATCACACCCAGTGATTGTATGTATACTACTATTTAAAAGCTTGTAATCAATGTTTTCAATTACAAAATAAACGTATATTGGCAGGTAAATGTATGAAATGATTCTAATATTCTAGGCCTGTGCAATTTTACAAGTGTACATAATTATAAATAAATAGTAGGAAGAGTTCAGATATTTGAAACGTGTAGAGCTGTGGATGAGTCTAAAATCACACAGCAGCTTATAACAACAACATATAGTTAGTTGCCAAAATGCTTGAAATATTGAAAACAACTTCTAAAAGTACCATCTAGTGTCTATATTAGAGTACTTATATCAGCATTGTAGAAGTTGTTAGTGTGTATAAAGTAATAACAAAAATTCTTAACATACAAAGTGATTCTCAACTTTTAAAATGTGTGTTTTTATGCTGTATCCCTGGATGACTTCATCTAATAATGTTTTTTTTCTGCATCTCTCTCTCTCTCTCTCTCTCTCTCTCTCTCTCTGTAGACATGGTGCTGTGAGTTCTGTGGTAAGCAGAATGTTCTCTCTCAGAGTGAAGTAAAAATGGGCCGCTCTCCTCTGTGGACTCCTCCAGGCAGAGACGTGCTCTACGTAGATGAGGAGATCGATGCAGACTATATGAACCTGGAGGACATGCTGGTGGTCTTCTGTGTAGACATTTCTGGTAGCATGAGTGTCACCTCAGAGGTTACTTTTCCACTTTTCCTTTTTAATCCAGCAGCTTCTCCATACACATAACCAACATCGTTTCTCTTTGTTTTACTTTTTTGTGTTAATGGTTTCTTTTTTGGTTTTTGTCCTGCTCTTCTCTCCTGTCTGGGTCACTCAGGTGTCTCCTGGTAACAGCATGAGATCACCCACATATGTATCACGACTGCAGGTGACTGATACTTTTGTTGTCACACATACCAAAATAGAACTGTCACTTCTACCATTGACTCACATGAGCAGTGTGAAGTATGAAGTGTGTCATTTGCTGTTCACTTAATGACCCTTTTAGAAGCAAGGCTGCAATGATTAAATTAGTTAAAAAAAAGCTCTTTAAAGCCCTGGAAAGTTCATATGATACTCGCAGCCATTCAGACAAATTGCAGTGCACTACAGGAAGCAAGGCAGGGGGATGTGGCATCTGTTGTTTCTTGCACTATAGACGTGCTTGTCGTTTAATTTTTAATAATAGCAGTATTTCATAGATTGATCACTTATAGAAATAATTATTAGTTGCAGCCCTAGGTGGAAGACAGCAGTGTTCTTTACCCCAGTTTTAGCTTTCTGTGAAGTCAGAGTTCTTATAAAGACTGTTGACTCAGTGAACATCTTGGTAAAACCCCTAATCAGTTAATGCAAGTTATACAAGACCAGTCTTCTATCTCTTGGAATAGGGAGAGACCCATAAATCCAAACTGAAAGCCAAATTGACATTTCAAAAACATATTTAAAATCACACGTAAAATCTGAAAAAAAAAGACATAAATAGTTTATAACATTTGGTTCAAATAACTCAAATAACCTGCATATCTCTACAAGAAGAGGGAGGCTTTTACACCTTCATGAACAAGCTGATTTGCACTTCGAGTTCAGAACAGTGACACAGCCGCCATGCTGAGCGATACTGAACTATGAGCTGTGAACTCTTCCATTGTAATGTCTCTACAAAAGTTTGTCATAAATCTCACAGAACTGCAGTGTTTATAACTTGAAGTCTACTAATTTCTTCCAGTCGATTGTTCTAAACAAGCATTCCTTTGGCTGTTACTGATGTATTATATGAAAGTAGATAAAGGATGATACCAAATGTGCTGCTGTCATGCTTCCTTTTGTGTTTTCAGGGTGTTCAAGATGCCCTCCTGATGGCACTGACCTCCCTGCTAAAATCTTCACCTCACCGTCGAGTAGCACTGGTCACTTTTAATGATGAGGTAAGGAAAAGAGGTGGGAAAAAGAGCTGGTTGTGTAAGTGTTGTAAGAACAAAGACTCATTCAGCTCTGAGTATGAAAGTGCCTTCAAAGTAAATAATTAAAGAAACTGCGAGAACACTTGATTTGAATGCTCCCTACATACAGACTTCAGCACATGCAGAAGCATTGAATAACATTTAAAAAGCAGTACATGAGTATTTGTAAATGGCTTGTACCAGTAACCGCAAGATGACATATCATGTTTTAGGATCTAAATGACTTAAATGACTTAAGTGTCTTAATATTGACAACAGACAGAAATGTATAACCCTCACTGACAATTCTAGGATTTTTTTTAGGTGTGGCTGTAATGGGACCACAGTTCCTGTTTAGGGGCCAAATAAAAAAGAGCCCCATAATAACTCACAATATCTATATATATTCGTATACATTATTTAAGTTATACACACATATTATTCAGTGTGTTTTACATTCGACGGCAGACAGTAAAATTTAATCATAAGGCTAATAATTTCACAACTACCAAATACAGACAAGCAATACAGACGCTCTCTAAATGTTTACTTTTTGCCAAATGCAAGAAAAGAAAAAGAAACCATTAGTTTTGTAAGTACACCCCGGTCTGCTGAAAGGTCTTATACTGGCGCAATAAGGCGCAGAGTGCCTGGACACCTATGATCGCCATTTGTGATGTAATTTGCAGATGATTACTTAGCTCTCATAGGGAGCACAGTCCACAGAAATCAACGTGTTCTACGTAATTTTAGACAAAAGCGAAGTGGTACCTGACCGTCTTGGTTGCAAACAATGATAATTTACTCATACTAGCCTATTTGCACCCACCATTCTAAAGCTATTGAAGAGAGATATCAAATTTGTGAAAATTATACTGCTCAAGAAGCTTCTTGCAAGAAGAGGTTTCATTTAGTAGCACCATTAAAGCACTGACTTCCAGTAAATTTAGCTAATTAATATTAAGTAAGTAATGTATATTCACCATTCAAATCCGGGAATTGAGGTCGACGCGTTTGTCAGTGATGTGACTAGAGGTGACAAGTGTCTGGTAGATCTCCTAAATAATTATTTTGATGAATAGTTTCTATTGCGTAAGTTGAAGAGCATCAGTATCTTCATCGATCTGATAAAAGCTTTTCTTAATTAGGCTTTTGTGTTATAAGTTGTTTTATAAGTTCCATCACTTGGAAATGATGCTTCATTTTACTGGCATAAGCTGTTCATAAATATTTAAGTGTTGCTTTATAAATACATTAGCCAATGTTTATGCATGTGTTGTGAAATATGCTTAAATAAAATTTTACCAAAATTTCATTGCAAATGCTAAGCTGCATGACTGATTTCTGTGCATTTGTATTGTCAGGTGACCATTTATGGGGATGGTACAGGAATTCCTGTCTCTCTGCGGGACTGGGCTCTAGTGGACTATGACCATGTTCGAGAGCAGGGAGAGAAATATTCCACACCACACTGCATTGCAGAGACTCACCAGTGCCTCACACAGAGAGTCAAAGAGTGAGTATGCAATTGAGTTGGTCATAGGATTTCACTCATTGGCTTTCTCTTTGTATGTCTTGTTGTCTCCATGGTGGTGATTCACAAAAACAAAGCGTATGGAAGAGTGTTCTACAGTGTATAGCATATGCCAGGGGTGTCCATCTTATCCACAAAGGGCCAGTGTGGCTGCCAGTTTTCACCCCAAACAAGCTGAAGCACACCTGTTTCTACTTGTTTAATCAGTTGGTCTTCAAACATTTCATCGGGTGACCTCCTGCTTTGTTAAAGTGGAAACCTGCAGCCACATTGGCCCTCTGCGGACAAGACTGGACACCGTTGGCTTATGCAAAAGAAGTTATAGCTCGTTTGTTCTTTTTTTATCTTAAAAAATTGTCAAGGCTTTTTCTCTTTTTTGTAAAGACTTTACTGGCTGCTGATGTCTTTTTTGAAAGCAGCACTACCAAAATAACGGGACCAATTTTGCATCCCTAAAGAACAATTCAGGGAATCGTTCATCAAAGAATTTTTTATAATGAGATCTTTGAATGTAAAGGACCCTTTACAGTTAAAAGAAACTCCACATAAAGGTTCTAGACCAATTAATGGCTTTTCCTAGAAACACTGAAGCCAAGAACTATTAGGGACCCTTATTTGTAAGAGTACAATAAAAACATTGTGTGCTGTGATTTCACTTTCAGAACCCATTGTATGCCTGTGTTACAGATTTAAAAACTACAGATTTAAAACTTGTTTTAATGTGGGGAATCCTAGATCAGCTTTAAGGTAGACCTAGCTCATATTTTTTTTACTCTTAGTGCTTGGTTATGACAGTTGTATCAGCCTGTCATATACAGCTGCTGATCTTGCTCTGTTTATTTCCGTAAGGATTTTTGTCTGCCCTTTTAATACAGTATGATGATTCTGTGCTGTCACCATTCTCATCCAGATTAAGAGAGCATGGAGCTACGGCACTGGGCCCTGCTGCACTCGTATCTGTTGCTATGGCATCTCAGTTCACAGGGTCAAAGGTCAGTATCTGTAACCCCATTTTATTTCTTTTGATTAGCTCAGTGTCTGAAGTCTGTGCTCCAAACTTTCCAAAGAACACTGGATTTCCACTTATTTTGGTGATATCAAGTTGTGTATGTTCTGTATGTTTACTTTTAGGTCATAATTTGCACAGATGGTCGTGCCAACATAGGCCTGGGCCAGTTAGAACAAGAATCCGCCCACTCCCCTGCACCCTCACCTTATTTCTACAACCAGTTAGCCAACCATGCAGCAGAAAAAGGGTATGTTACAAAACCTCTTTTCTTCTTTGGCATATAAAAAACACTGTGTCTATTGTGAGCAAAATTTAACATTTAAATATAGTGCAGTGTGTAACTGTTCCCTGAAGGAGCACCCACTAAAAGCTTTAGGGTCGCATACCAGATGTGCTGTCTGTAGCTGGTGGTTGCTGAGGAGGCCACTGAATGTGTTGTTTTTGTGAGGAACTGATTGCAGGGTCCTCATCCCCTCCATGTGCACTAGCAAATTAGGCAGACAGATGGCAACGTGCTCCACTGAATATGCAAGTCTCAACAGCCAGATTTCTGATTGTGGTTAAAGTGTCTGGTAGATTTTATTGCTCAACATGGCAAAGAATTATGACAGGAAGGGACTGTTTGACTGATATGTAAAGCGAACAGCCTCAGGCTATTTTTTTTGAATGACAGATAAGGCTAGACCATTGTCGAAATGGTGCTACCACAAAAATGGTCCCATATCAGTGAGTGATGTTCACAAGACATCTCTACTAACTTCTTGAGAGATCTCTGCTAGCTGCTACAAACAAAACTCTTGAATAAGTGATTTTTTTCCAATCCAGCACCTCAGCATATCTGTGGGCAGAGCAATGATAACAGTACACTCAACATAATAACTCAGAAGGAAAATACTGTAAGCATTTGCTAAAGACCAAAAAAAGAGTTTTTATGTTAAATGAACTGAACAATGTAATTGTTGGCAGGGTTAGCAATAGAATGTTTTCCACACTAATATACGTCTCTGTGGTTGTGTTTAGAGTTATCGTGTCAGTGATGACATTTGAAGGGGAGGACTGTCGCCTGGCGGAGGTGGGGAAGCTGGCTGATCACACAGGAGGCAGGGTGAGCGAGCCATACTGCCCATTAGCACTGATCCAGAATCAACCAGCCCTACCATTATAAGACAAAATCAGTTAAGGCACACTTATAAGCAGTAATGTACTTGCTCTGCCTTTGGGGTAAATCTTAATAACTGAATTAAATAAAATAGGGCATAGACTGCATCTATATGAAGTGAGTACAGTTTATGTCATGTAATCATGCAAAGGGAAGAATTCAGACACAAAGCCAAACAGAGATAAGGAATTCCCTAGGCATCTAGACTAGTGACCTACATACCCTATCACTACCTGTGCACCTGTGTACCCATGTGTGCACACATACTCACACATCTATTTAGGCCAAACCCGTAGAAATGCAAGTTTTGCCCTCATGTGTTTTGAACGGAGGTTTGTGCTCAGAGCAGAACATGCCTAAATACCGTAAGTCTGTGACCCATTTTACAGAAGCCATGATATTATCACCATGAACTCAAAAACAAATAAAAAACAACAAAGCTTGCTGGATATAAGTATTTCTTTTCATTGGCAGATCATTAAACATGAATATACTTTATGCTCTTCTGCGTACTGTGTTCAGAGATTAGTAATAATAGTAGTCAACATTGGCACAGTGGTTAAAAAAATTCCCCTCCACATGCAATGTATGACAAATGACTTCATCCTGTTCTCTTCCTCTTTCTATGCTGTTGACTCTGTCTTTAGATCAACATAGTCAACATTGGAACAGTTGCTACAGAAATTCAGAGTGCTTTGGCTGACAGTGTTTTGGCAACTAATGTTGTGGCAACTCTGCTAGCACCGGATGGCGTGTGAGTATAAATGATCATTGTATCACTTTCATTACTCTTGAATTATTCTGATTTTAAACAAGTATTTCCAGATTCTCACTGAAAATGCTAATGCCTCTTAGGTAAAGATGAAAAGAAAAGCAGTATCTTTTAGATGCTTGAAACAGAGACCTGTCTCTTTGTATCCAGTACATCTCTGATTGTTGCGTTTTGCAAGTCATCACTTAGTTAGAAACTGAGGAAGTAGTACAATGCTGCAGTTTCTAGCTGCAGTCATCGCTGCTTGTGGTGTACCAATATGTGGTATTTGTATAGACTATATAAAGATGATTGCTGCAATGTCTTAAAGCTAAAAACAGTAGTGTAAGTTTCTGGCAGGTCCAATCAAACATTCTCACAGGCAGTCGTTTTGGCCTGCAGGCCACACTTCAGACAGTCTTGCTCTGGAACTCTTGTCTGTGCTCCTTGTGGCAGTTTGAGTTGTGAGTTGTGAAAATTAAGCAGAGAAATTCATTTTTTGATTTTCTACATTTTTGCCTCAGATTAAAACTGAAATACGTTTTTAAGATCAATGTGCACTTTGATTACAGTTCTATTACTATATTTCAATTTCTGTGGAACTCAAAAAAATGGGTTTTAATACTGTTTTCCACCAGATATTTCCCTTATGAAGAAGATAATCACAAGTTAGTGAGGGAGATTGGTAATGTAACAGAGGGGGTGGAGATCACTTTCCAGTTTGCTGTTAGACCAGACAAAGCGGACAGTAAGTTAAGAAAACAATGTTTCTCACTCTTGACTATGTGACTTTGTGACTGCAGATTAAAAAAGATTGCAAAATTCTGTGAAGTTGTTTCGTTGTTCTGAGAAACTGCCTCTTCAGTGTGTCTATGTGTGTGTGTGTGTGTGTGTGTGTGTGTGTGGGTGTAGGTGGGTGTCAGTATGAGAGGCCGTTTAGGCCAAAACTCCTACTTACCTCTCACATTCACTATCAAACCTCACACAGACACACTACCAAACCTCTCACTCTCACTATCAAACCCTCTCACACTCACTATCAAACCCTCTCACATTCACTACCAAACCTCTCACACACACCATCAAACTCTCTCACACTCACTATCAAGCCCTCTCACACTCACTACCAAACCCTCTCACACTCACTACTGAACTCTCTCATACTCGCCATCAAACTATAAGGCGTTCTTGATAGTGAGTGTGAGAGAACTTGATAAAGTCCTTTTGGTGCTATAGCGGTCCGTGTGTTCTCGGCTTTTATTCTGTGATTGTCAGTGAAAAAGACTCTACAGGACTCCCGCCATTTAACAGCGAAATTAAAGAGGAATGAAAGTCGCGCTGCCCGGTAACAATGAGAAAAAATCATTGTAATGTCACGTCGTCAGATGTGAACTTCGTTATAGTGATGCAGCTCCAAACTTAAGAATTAAAGCTGTGCGCTGTCCTGTGTTCATATTGTTCATATGACTGTGGCGGCTCTGGTTTTGGGAAGGAGCTTTAGAGGCGCGGTATGCGGAGCTGCGCCGAGGCGCCTTCGGTACATTAAACTAAACTCTCACTGCGAGACTCTGTGTTCGGCTTTAGGTCCTGATGTGCTGTTTGTTGTGAAGGGAAGCGAGGATTAACCGTTCTTTACATAGAAACAACCTAAATCTCGAGTATGATCTGAAGTGTCCGTATGCCTGCAAGAGGCGCGTGCCCGCGAAGGGCCTAATTTCAGTGATTTCTGAGTTTCTGAGACCAGGCGTGCCATCTGCACGTCCACTTCAGGTTAAGGTGATAGTTTTTTTGATAAAGTAATTTACGGACCTTTATTCCGTTGTTGTTTGTTCTTATTATTATGCTTAGTGTGTGAAACAAAGCTATTTCGTGATTTTTCCACTGACAATAACAGAATAAAAGCCGAGAACACACGGACCGCTATAGCACCAAAACGACTTCAGGGTTTGATAGCGAAAGTGAGAGGGTTTGATAGTGAGTGTGAGAGAGTTTGATAGTGAGTGTGAGAGAGTTTGATAGTGAGTATGAGAGAGTTTGATAGTGAGTGTGAAAGGGTTTGATAGCGAATGTGAGAGGGTTTGATAGCGAGTGTGAGAGAGTTTGATAGTGAGTGTGAGAGAGTTTGATAGTGAGTGTGAAAGGGTTTGATAGCGAATGTGAGAGGGTTTGATAGCGAGTGTGAGAGAGTTTGATAGTGAGTGTGAGAGAGTTTGATAGTGAGTGTGAAAGGGTTTGATAGCGAATGTGAGAGGGTTTGATAGTGAGTGTGAGAGAGTTTGATAGTGAGTGTGAGAGAGTTTGATAGTGAGTATGAGAGAGTTTGATAGTGAGTGTGAAAGGGTTTGATAGCGAATGTGAGAGGGTTTGATAGCGAGTGTGAGAGAGTTTGATAGTGAGTGTGAGAGAGTTTGATAGTGAGTGTGAAAGGGTTTGATAGCGAATGTGAGAGGGTTTGATAGCGAGTGTGAGAGAGTTTGATGGTGTGTGTGAGGTTTGGTACTGAGTGTGAGAGAGTTTGATAGTGTGAGAGAGTTTGATAGTGAGTGTGAGAGGGTTTGATAGTGAGTGTGAGAGAGATAGTGAGTGTGAGAGGGTTTGATAGTGAGTGTGAGAGAGTTTGATAGTGAGTGTGAGAGAGTTTGATAGTGAGTATGAGAGAGTTTGATAGTGAGTGTGAAAGGGTTTGATAGCGAATGTGAGAGGGTTTGATAGCGAGTGTGAGAGAGTTTGATAGTGAGTGTGAGAGAGTTTGATAGTGAGTGTGAAAGGGTTTGATAGCGAATGTGAGAGGGTTGATAGCGAGTGTGAGAGAGTTTGATAGTGAGTGTGAGAGAGTTTGATAGTGAGTGTGAAAGGGTTTGATAGCGAATGTGAGAGGGTTTGATAGTGAGTGTGAGAGAGTTTGATAGTGAGTGTGAGAGAGTTTGATAGTGAGTATGAGAGAGTTTGATAGTGAGTGTGAAAGGGTTTGATAGCGAATGTGAGAGGGTTTGATAGCGAGTGTGAGAGAGTTTGATAGTGAGTGTGAGAGAGTTTGATAGTGAGTGTGAAAGGGTTTGATAGCGAATGTGAGAGGGTTTGATAGCGAGTGTGAGAGAGTTTGATGGTGTGTGTGAGGTTTGGTACTGAGTGTGAGAGAGTTTGATAGTGTGAGAGAGTTTGATAGTGAGTGTGAGAGGGTTTGATAGTGAGTGTGAGAGAGATAGTGAGTGTGAGAGGGTTTGATAGCGAGTGTGAGAGAGTTTGATGGTGAGTGTGAGAGTTAGATAGTGAGTGTGAGAGGGTTTGATAGCGAGTGTGAGAGAGTTTGATAGTGAGTGTGAGAGAGTTTGATAGTGAGTGTGAGAGGTTTGGTAGTGAGTGTGAGAGTTTGATAGTGAGTGTGAGAGAGTTTGATAGTGTGAGAGAGTTTGATGGTGTGTGTGAGAGGTTTGATGGTGTGTGTGAGAGAGTTAGATAGCGAGTGTGAGAGAGTTTGATGGTGTGAGAGTTAGATAGTGAGTGTGAGAGGGTTTGATAGCGAGTGTGAGAGGGTTTGATAGTGAGTGTGAGAGAGTTTGATAGTGAGTGTGAGAGGTTTGGTAGTGAGTGTGAGAGAGTTTGATAGTGAGTGTGAGAGAGTTTGATAGTGTGAGAGAGTTTGATGGTGTGTGTGAGAGGTTTGATGGTGTGTGTGAGAGGTTTGATAGTGTGTGTGAGAGGTTTGATGGTGAGTGTGAGAGGTTTGATAGTGTGTGTGAGAGGTTTGATGGTGTGTGTGAGAGGTTTGATAGTGTGTGTGAGAGGTTTGATAGTGTGTGAGAGGTTTGATGGTGTGTGTGAGAGGTTTGATGGTGTGTGTGAGAGGTTTGATAGTGTGTGTGAGAGGTTTAGTAGTGAGTGTGAGAGATTTGATGGTGTGTGTGTGTGAGGTTTGATAGTGAATGTGAGAGGTTTAGTAGTGAGTGTGAGAGATTTGGTGGTGTGTGGGTGTGAGGTTCGATAGTGAATGTGAGAGGTAAGTTGGAGTTTTGGCCTAAACGGCTCTCATATGTGAGTGCATGCTTTTGGTATCAAGATTTTTTTTTGTTTAGTTTTAAATATTACAGTTATTTTTAGATTTTAGATTTTATATCAACTATGTTATTGATTATTCCTTTTTACTCTCCTTATCTTTTTTTTTATGTTGGGCGTACTTGTTTAAAAAATGGCATTTCTTCCCTGTTTATGTATGTTTTGTTGATTTTCTAAGTGAAGATATGTTAGCAGATAAATTCAGCAGATAAACAGTAACTGTGCATTAAAATGTGCAGACGTGTGATCTCTGTAGAGGATGTGTTAACTTATTTTAGTTAGAAAATAAATGAAACGTAATTTGACCATGAGTGCCCAAACTTTTGCATGAGACTGTTATCAAGAATAAAAGCATGGTATGAGAAAGTACAAAAATTATCATGTATAAAATGAAATTAATTTTTTAATACTTGAAATACAGGTGGTAAATAAATAACTGTTTGTGTAGGTTTCCAGAGAAGGGACAGAGTTCCTTTTCAGCTGCAGCTGTCGTTCAAGACCCGAGACTTGAAGAAAGTGAACAGAGTCATCACTCAGCAGAAGCGTGTGACCACCAGCGGGTAACACTGCACAAAATTGTACCAACACATTTACATTTACATTTACATCATTTAGCAGACGCTCTTATCCAGAGCGACTTACAAAAAGTGCTTTGTCTATCCAGAGAAAGAATCTTCGCTAGCTACCGATAGGTTAGAGAGAAAGTCAGTCCTAAGCTCAGATACTGGTAGAATCTGGTAGAATCTTATATAACACCTGTAATATAATATAATATAATATAATATGATGTAATATAATAAAAATATCTAAAAATAATTCACAGATTTGTGCTTTTGTCCCCACTCTCTATCTCTCTGTAGCTGGGTGTGGGCAGGCAGTCTGAACATGTCTGTGCTGGGAGTTCACTGTGCTCAGCTATGTGCCAGACTCACCATGGAGGGCAGAATACTGGAAGCTCAGAATCAACTCAAAGCCCAGCAGGACCTTCTCAAAGACATCAGGTGTGTGTTGGTGCACGTGTTGGCTGTAGCTAATAGCCAAGTGGTTGCGGGAGTCTTGTGTAATTTTGTTTTTGAAGGATTTGAGTCTTGAATAAATACTTTCTATATTTATAGCCACATCTGTCACATATGGTCAATTTCGACAATTTCCAGGTGAAAGAACAGAAAACTCGTAGACTCAGATCAGGCTTCTAATCGAAGCCAGTGGACAGCTGCTTCATTACTTGGCCATTGGCTTCTGTCATATGTGTGTTTTGAGTCAATAGGTTTTCTGTCCTTTTACTCTGATAAATGTCAACATTATTGACCATTTTAATTGACCATATGATACAGATGTGTCAGATAGAGATTAGGTCAGAAAATGCTGGAGCAATTAAGCACTACTGGAGCTGGATTAGTTGTACCAGATGAGTGAGAAGATGAGGTTCTACATTACTGTAATTTGTCAGGTACTTGACTGACTGATTCTTCGGAGGAATTAATTTCCCCAAATTAACCCAGGTACCCCAGCCTCAAATGTCACAGCCTGGATGTCATCAGCGTAATAACAATAACAACACAGCACTCATCCATATCCATTACCTGGCTTTTTATTACATAATTGTGAGGTTGATTTGAACAGGGAGGGAATTACTGAGGGAGCTCCGAACAGAAGGTCGTTCTCTCCAGAATTATTACTTAGACTTACAGAACTATGAACATTGCAGATTCATATTGGACTAAAATCAGGGATCTTGCAGATAATCACTTAAAGTACTCCCTAGGTACAACTAATCCAGCTCCAAAAGGGCTCTACAGTTCAGGTGAGACTGCAGTATATGTGCAGTGGTGGGTGTATGTATGGCTCTAAGGCTCTAATTTGATGTTTTAATATGTCTAACAGTGAACAGAAGCCAATTGCTAAAGAGGAGAGTATCTATGGGAACTGGATCAGCACTATGAGTATGATCTGTGAGGATCTCACCACAGACACACAGGTAAGCACACTTTACCACTGATCTAATAACTACACATTCATTATTCCATCACTAGCTCTGTGCATCATGAGTGTAGAAACCATTGTATCAAAATGTATATTTTGTCCCCTCCACTTCTATTGGTTTTGTTTGTTGCTTCTTTACACAAAAGTTAAAATACAGCGTCCATATGTAATGTGTCCAAATTGGATATGTTGATATATATTTGGATATGTTGATATATATGTGAATATGTTGATATACATATGGTGCCATTCTTGCTATGGGGGCAACTTAGTGTAGTGTAGTTAGCGTATAGGAAGAATTGTGGCTGCAGGGAGAGAATCATGAAAGAACGAAACATAGTGTCAGGACCTGAGTAAGGCCTGTTTCACACATACTGCGTCATGCTTTTCATGATGTATTTGTGAAGAGCTTTCACAGCACTGAGGCCATGCCGCAGCTTCAGACTAACCAATGAGATTATTTTTTTCCTAACTCAGTAAAATAAATGTTGAAAACCAATGAAAATGAAATAAAAAAGAAAATGAGTAGAACACAAAATAAGTACACATTTTGTGGTACTTTTATCAATAGGTCTATGGGCTTGCCCAATCACAAGTGAGAGGGTAAATGACGAATAGTCTTTTTATTAAGCAAAATAAAATAACTGATTTGACTATTTGTCCATTTGAAAAATAGAAGTTTGTAGAATTTGGATAAAAGCAGGTATAAGTCAGCTGTACCGCTTCACAGCGCAAATGCTATACGTATGAATGGCCTATGCATGCAAGCAGTAGCAGTCATGCTGTGGCGTCGCTCCTGTCTTGAAAAGGTAGCATTTATTTAAACAACTGTCTAATTTACCATGTAAAAAAATATGCATTTCTGTTATTAACTTGGTGCTGTGAGCAAAGCACAGCATAAATATCACATGGACCAGACTATACTTTTTTGTTTTCGTAAATCCCTTAAAGTTTCTAAATCATTCCTACACACTTGCAGTGAATGAAATATTTGCATTTTCACTTTTTACTTTTTACAGTTTTTACTGACAAGATCTGTGATTTTAACTGCTAAAATTGAGCTTTAGTTGGCACAGTTCCTTTATCCTGAAGTCCAAAGCAGAACTACTGTAAACATCAACATTTTGCTGATGGCCTAATTAGAAGGAGAATATAAAATTTACATAATATATCTTGAAAGTACCTCTCACAAATCAGTGCGATTTCAGTTGGGGAGCATTGAATGAGCCCACTTCACTGGCCTAATGCTACTGTATTTGGCGTTTACTGGGAGTTAAATAAATCCAGCTCCAATAGGCCTTTAGAAAGTGATTTAATGTATGTGTGAGTGCATATAGAATGCTGAAATCTCTATCTGCTGCTAGGATCCTTTTATCTAGCATTACATTTGATTCTAATCTTGTGAATGGGAGCCATTGTTGAGATCTCCGCCGCCAGGCTATGCATTCATCTCATGCATCTCATTGTCCACACACACGTACACACCGGCTCACATACACAACCATACCAGAACTTGCATGGTATTTCTCTGTGACTATCTGTTCTCATGCATGAGATTAAAATCTGCTGTACCTGTTCTCAGGACACGTTAGTTCTCAGGCGATGTTAATGAACTTTCACCTACTTTACTTTCCTTCAGCAGAACAGCTCAGACACCACCACTCTTCTAGCCAGCCGAACACCAGCCACAGTAAGTTCTGGAAGATGAAGGACTATCACTGTCTCACTCTGCAGTACGGTCTTAAAAATAAAGGTTCCTAAATCATTCTTAGCTTGGACGTGCAGTTCTAAACTAGTGTTCAAAAAATTTGGAAGCTGTGAAAAATGCAGAAATTTTAGATGAGTTCTAAATGAACAGAGCTGTAGATAATTATTTAATGACAGAGAGAGCTTTTGAGAGCAGTGAAAGTTAAAAGAAAATTAACATCCAGATTTCCTCATATTTAAAACCTGGTGATCAAATCTCAGGCAAAAAACCTATCAAGAAATTACTGTAAATAGGTAATTTCAGTATTATTTACCATTTATTAACTTCTTAGTGCTCCCAATAAAATTTACTGAATAAAACATCTTGAAATATCTTTTGGTGTCTTGTAATCTTGTAATCTACACTCTATACATTATGATTGAATAGAAATAAGAGTAATTATCAATATGGCAGGTGATTCTGAGCTTTTGAACACTAGTGTACAAACCATCTTTAGTTAATATACAATATATTATGTGTAGGGAGGGTTATTAAACCTTCAAAAGGTTCTTCAATCTCCCATGTCTCATTTACAAAGACTGTTCTCTGAATGGTTCTGTAGAGATTTGCAGGTTCTTCTATAGTGGGGTGTTCAGCTCTCGAATCAGGTTTGAGCTGTTAAACTGTATTAAATCTCTTTAGGACCCATGCTTAAATGGTTCTTCAGAGTGATGAAGAATGTGTTGTATATGGTTCTATATAGCGACAAAAAGGGTACTGCAATTTTTGGTGCTATATAGAACTATTCAAAAAGTTTCCATATAGAACCTTATACAACACATTCTCCATCAATCTGAAGAACCACCTCACCATACAAAGAACCATTTAAGTATACACCTGATTTTCTGAGTGTTCATGGGTCTATATAGAACCACTGTCTTTTCTAAAGAACCCTTGAAGAACCATCTTTTTAAGTGTATGTGTATGAGTGTACGGTATCACTTCAAAAACCCTTTTTTTTACATTTAGCCAATTTCTTGTAAGACTGCACAAGCATAATTAGAGCTGGCTAACTCAACAGATGTTGATGTTTTTTCAGGGTCTGTCAGACGAGGCGGCGAAGGTTGTGTACCAGATGAAGAGAGCGAAGAGCGTTGGGGAGAAGGGCCGGAAGGCAGCCATGTTGGACAGTTGAGAAGAAAGTGGCTATTTTAGCCAAAACAGTAGTAAAGCTGAAATGGTGATCAGATTATTTTCATGCCTGACTTCATAACTCACTGTGTAATCATAATGTAATAGTTTACATGCTCCAGGTCAGAAGCTGCTGATTGCTGTAAACATCAGTAAATAGACAGTAAGTTGTAGATCGCAGATGATTATATTGGTTGAAATTTGTTTAAAGTAATTTTCTTTTATAAATAAATTATAACATTTCTAACACCTCTCAGGGCCTCTTCTGAACAAGAAACTCTTTAAGCCTGGCCACGCAGAAGGTTTTTCTCAGTACAGCTTTGGGCAAGGCAATGATTTGGCCTCTTTTTGTTATTCCATTATGTACACTTTTTCATAGAGAGAAAAGGGCTCATTACTCATTTAATTAAACATCTTTAAAATATAATTTTAAAATAAATATAAGAATTTAATTATATAGATATATATAACATAATAACATTCTGTTGCAGCCCTGTTATAGAATAAAACAATAAGCCACGAGAGTTTACTGCGATTTTTATCACAGGGATGGGTATTCTTAGGCACAACACGAAGCAGAGTTATCTTAGTTATCTTTTAGCCTGTTCGCTAGCTGAACAGACATTCTAATTAAGATCATACGTCGCCAGCCCCTCAGTTTAAACAAAAAACAGGTTCTTACTTCATCAGTACACTTGGGGGTCCATGCGAGCAGCATAAGATTCAAAGATTATTCCATTGACAGCACAAGGTTTTTCCATGCCGTGGCATAGTAATACAGTTGTTGTGAGGCAGTCATAGGTGTGCATATGTCGTGGATTTTACAACGGCTCAGCCAACCAGATTTTAGGAGCGGAACTATGCATTTTATAATCTAACAGATATACATGATCACCAGGCTTTGTTACGTAATGTGGTGCATTTTTACACATTTTAACCCAAGATTACACAGTAGTGATAATCTGTGCTGTACTGTCAGGGAAAAGGTAGAGTGTAGGTACATTTTTGTTCATTAAGGTACAAACTGTGTAAACAGTCCTTAAGGTCCAATTTTGAATGTTAAGTGAATTTTGAAGGTGCATTCACGTCTCAGGGGAAAAGTACATATTTCTTGACCTAACATTTTAGAAAAATATAATAAAAAGCCTGAAGTCAAGATGTTTATGGAGCATGTATGGAGTCAGTGTTCCTTAAAAACTCTAACTACAATGGAAAATGGTACAATTGTGTTCCCAAACTAAAGGTACTGAAGACATACTCTTGAGGGTTTCACTCGGAGACAGTTTAGTATCTGTTTTACTAGGAGTGTCTATGAGTTTTTGAGTAGGAGTTCATTGCTGGTTTGAACCACCTAAAGTGCTCTGTGTTGTGATTTATGGCAGCTGAACTACTTGTAAGTGAATTCTTGAATGGCACTCGTGCAATGAGAGAGTTCTATCAAAGATCTTCCACAGACGGTATGTTCCCATTTCACTTGTTTGTTTCACTCTCTCACTGATTTTGTAGTGATAATTTTTGTAGCAGTATTTTTTATCTCATAAAAACTATTGATCAACTGTAACTAAGACTCACGTACCGAAATTGTTGGTTTTCATCTGTCAAAGAATGTTCGTTTGAAAAAAATCTTAAGTATGTGCTGTGTTGTGCTGCTTTTGGTCTGTTCTAAATTTAGTATGATGAAAGTGCTGAGCAACCTTCTTGATGTTAAATGATCAGTCAACCATATGACGCTAACTGAATGATTAACTGAACTGTACACAAATACAGTTGTGTACCTCCTATTCTTATTATATTAATACACTGATTAAATTCATCCAGACCACCCTCCATGTATTACATTTTCTGTCAAAACATCCTTAAAATACAAGTTATTCATTTTTCAGCATCAGGGGAAAAAAAACATATTTAGCAGAAAATTACACAGAAGCCTCAACAATTGTAATATGAAGATTTTCAGTATTTAGCGTGCGCACCGTTCACCTTTCTTACACCGTTCTCCTTTCTCTCAAGGATGAAAACTTTAAGCACTGTTTATCTCATGGTAACAGTTTTGGTCTGCCAGGTCCTGCACAGTCGTTAGCGGAGTTTCATTTTCTGGACAACTTTTCACCATTTGTAAAATCCAGTTTTAGAAAATGTTTTTCCTTGACGTTCCTCTTCTTTATGAAAGTGGTTTAATGACTGTTTTGACTGAAAATGAAATAAAAGAGACTGGTCTGCAGTACTCTGGCACAGTACTGTATATGTTCAAACCAACTTCAATGGAAGCAATTATGGATTTGTCACTTTTTTGTAGACTTTTACCAAAAAAGAACAAATGACTGCTTAGTCGTTTCATAGTTAAGTGTCACTGCATCATTAGTTCTCAAGACAGCTAACAAAAGGTCACCAACAAAGCCAGCATATGTTTTGGGCCATGCTGGGTGACCAGCTAATCCAGCACTAGACCAGCAAGGAATTCATGCTGGAATCCATAAATTGTTCAGACACAAGAATATGTTGATAGAAAAAAAATAAATCATAAAGAACAAATCCTTTTGAAATGTTGAAGTTCAAGAATGTTCCTCAGAATGTAGACAAACACGTATCAAGGACTACCATCAAGAAAAGAATACAGCCGTGTAAATTGAGATTTACCTCGAGATGTAAATCACTCATAAGCCTCATAAATAGAAAGGCCAGGTTAATGTTTACTAAGACATACATATAGAAAGACATCAAGGAATGTTCATGATCTAAAGCAGGGGTGCACAACTCCAGTCCTGGAGGGCTGGTGTCCAGCACAGTTTGGGGGTTTACCTGCTCCAACACACCTGATCACACTTATCTGATAATTGCCAGGTTAAATGGGTGTGTTTGAGCAGGGAAACCTCCAAACTGTGCTGGACACCGGCCCAGTGTTCTGTTTCTGGGTTTAAATTTGTGCAGTAATGGATGGCAGCGCTGGAGTTGCAGACTGGTGGTGGTGGTGGCTGTGGTGTGTGCACCTTCATTGAAAACAAAGGTTTTAAGTTTTTAGACGCTGTGTGCAACTAGACCCATAGGGCCCACGACCCCCTGTAGCCCCAGGGCCCACAAGCAGGTTGAAGCGCCCTGCTAATGTGTAGTGGTATTAATAATGGAACACAGACTTCAGGCAGTCATTAACTGAAGATTTGTGACCAAGTACTAAACGTGACAATTCGAGATTATGATCATTTGTGCTAAGACATGAAGGGACAGTGTATAAAAATGACTGATTCCTGTACGGTGCACCCAATATTGGAATACAGCTCAAAAACAACAAAAATTATCACTGCCTAGCCACTTACAGACTCATATTAAAGAGAGAAAAAAGGAGAGCAGATGTAACCCTTCACCAATCGTGGTCAGACCGGTTGGAGCACATTGTGTCCATCTGACAGCCAAGAACATGCAAGCTTTCTCATCACACAAGTGCACTAAGGCCCAATCCCATTTCACCCCTTGCCCCGACCACTTAGCCTTTAGCCCTCCATTTTGCGTGTTCACATCTAGGGTTAGGGTGTCCCCGATTTTTGTTAAAGTGGAGGGGTAGGGCGAAGTGTCAGAGCTACATGGCCCTCCAAACAGAGGTTTTGCAGGGGCTCACTCCCAACGGAGTTTTATGGCTGCGTGAGCAACCAAAAGAAACCCTCAAATGTAAGTATTTTCCCAGTTAAAATTTAAGATAACCATTGTATTATCTTTGTTTAATGTTGTTTCACTGTGCTATGGTCCTTTTCGTAATAACAAGCATAAAGAATTACTAATAGTATGTATTACTGTCTCTGTGGCTACCTAGCTAAATTTCCTGTTCCACCTTAAATAGTCCAGCAGTACTGACACCTGAGGCGCCAGAATGTAACTGCTGCTCCGTTTAAGGTGGAACAGAAAAATTGAACAAGAAGCTGGTGAATAGCTGACTTCAGCCTCATATCACCAAAGAATCAGGGGTGATCACATCCTCCCTCATATGATGCCCTACATTTAACTAAAGACTTGTAACTCACTTCCAAGGGGCAATGTGACATTCAAAAACAAGGGGTAGGGGTAAAAATAAGAAATGGTATTGGGCCTAAATTAAACACTCCACTTGAGGATTACTCAAACTGTAGTGATTCTGAAAGACATAAAAACTGATTTACAGTTTAAAACAGTGCACATCAGTATGTTGTTTATAGTCATGAGTTGGTGAGCTGCAGGAAGTGCTATAGGGACATTTTGGCCAAGCAGTGTGCTGAACATTCAGGACCTGACCTGCATAAACATTCAGCATGTCACTATGACAGTGCCAGGAGAGTGGATGCAGCTGACACGAACAGGTTAAAACCAGCCAGCTGCATGTTTGTAAAATTCCTTGCAGCCACCTTCACAGTAGATAAGGAGGTGTCAGAGGACAGAGCGGACTGTAGCTCTGAGGTGAGCACAGGAGAGAAGACAGGAGAGAGTTGAGAAGAAAAGTATAACCTTCTTAGGAAGCTGCTGGTTTTTGAGGAGGTAAGACCTTCAGGAGGGGATCACTAAAGGGGATTGAACAGTAGTCAAGATCTGGGAAAAGTAGTATAATAATCTCAGGAGCTGTAGCAGTTGTAGACTTTCAGTTAACTTGAAGGCATGTTTGCATTCAAATGCTCAAAGTTTATCACATGAAGCATTTCATACTCTTAGAAACAAGACTCTTTGTTGGTTCTTGGTTTATGTGTCAGCAACTAGGGAGGAAACTTTAATTGTTAGGGCCTTCAGACTTCAACTATATGTATGCATACCGCGAAACGAAATGGTTTGTCTTCAGGGCTAAGGTGAGACATATAATGTGCCAAACGTGACGGGACACAGTACACAAGACTAAGTATCCAAGATCGCTTCTAGTAGTACATACTTAACAACATGAGATTGAGATCATTAACAGCAATAAAGTAGCACGTCATTTTGTTATAGAGTTATAGAGTGAAATGCAATGTGTTGAAAACTGCAGTTGTATCCATGATAATAAATACAGAGGGATAAGTTATTTACATTGTGTGGTGGTTAAAATGTTTCTTAAAACTCGTACATCTCATTTACAAAAATGGTTCTTTAAACATCTATAAAAAGGTTCTTTAGGGATCCAAAATTTTTAATAGCAATTTTTAATAGCAATTTTTACTGTCTGCCAATGCCTGTGCCATTACTGAAACATAAACATGAGGTTTATTCCAAAATGCTGTATATCTGTTCATAATATTTTTTTTTTGAAAAAAATAACTGCTGACATTTAATGTAAAACACATTTTTATTTGTCTAACAAAGGCGGCTTTATGCATAATGATATTTCTTGTATGTGTAAAGCCCCCTCTCAACAACGCATATCATATCATCTTGGAAATGGTCACTTTTGTGTCTGATCCACCCATATCAGCACAACACACACTAATATGCCAAAAGCATGTCAGTGTCACTGCAGTGCTGGGAATGACCCACCACCCAAATAATACCTGTTCTGTGGTGGTCTTGTGGGGGTCCTGACCATTGAAGAACGGGATGAAATTGGCTAACAAAGTACACAGAGAAACAGATGGACTGCAGTCTGTAATTGTTTAACTACAAAGTGCACCTGTATGGTAATCGGAGCCAATAGACAATGAGTGTAGAAACAAGGAGGTGGTTTTAATGAAGTGGCCAGTCAGTGTACATAGACAGAATTCAGAACGTCTCTAGAAAATGAAGGCACCTATAACTTTGTAATAATTCATAGCTGCCTAGTTTTAGAAGAGTGTTACATAATCGGTTTTAGAGCAAAAAGAGTGTTGAACATCAGTTTTTGACTCTTGAGCTGTAGCTGTTCCTGACTGTTCTAGAACCAGTAACTGTTCCTGACTGTTCTAGAACAAGTGTTAGCATAAAACCAAGTTACATGTAAAAAAAAATATATATATTTTTTTTTACTGATAAAACTAAACACTGAGAGCCAAGTGAAGCAGCTAAATATACAAATGTTGTAGTTGTAGAAAAATTGAAATGATGAGAATGTACATGGATTGAATGGAAGTCTTTGAGTGCACACCACTGATCTTTTAAAAGATAAAGAAGGAATTGCACCTCAGCCAGCTGAGCTGCATTCCTGTGCAAAAGCACTTGATGAGGTTACATTAGATTCCTCTTTCCTTATCTCATTGAAAAATCAGCTGTGTTTTGCTGTCAGTTCTGAGATATTTTTTTAGAAACATTCTTAGAAATTTGTCTTGAGATTCTTAGAAAACCTTGAACTAAATGCACATCTCATTTGCAGAAATTGTTCATAAAGGCAATGCTTCCCATCCCCAGTCCTGGAATCCCTGCATAGATTTGTGTTGTGCCAGCTCTAACACTAACACACCTGGGTTATATTATTAGCTTATTATTAACTGCCTCATGAGCTGAAGTAGGTGTATTAGAGCATAGAAAAGAACATTTATGCAGATGCAGGAGGTTTTCCTGTACTGGAGTTGGGAAACAGTGCTTTAAAGCAGGGGTGTCCAATCTTATCCGCAGAGGGCCAGTGTGGCTGCAGGTTTTCACTCCAACAAAGCAGCAGATGAAATGTTTGAACACTAAGACCAACTGATTAAAACAGAATCAGGTGTGCTTCAGCTTGTTTGAAGCAAAAACCTGCAGCCACATCAGCCCTTTGCGGATAAGATTGCTTTAAAGAATCCTGTATTGAAAGGTTCTCCCCCTTCAGGCAGTCCAGATTTTTGTTCTGTCTTTGTGTGTAGGAACCAAGCATAAACGTGGACTGTCTGAGGGTCCCTGAGGACTGGGTTGACAACCACTGTTCCAAAGAACCCTTTTCCCATGTGTCTTTTCCCAGCCAATTCCTGCTGTCCAATATAATGACCACATTGTTTCTAAAACAGTACTTTTATCACCTATACTATCTCTCCACTTACCTCTTTTCCTTTTCCTAATCTCTCTGCCTAAACTCTTTAATCTCCTCCATGTCTCTCTTCTCTACAAATCCATCCAGAGCTATGCCATTCCTGGGTAGCTTCCTTTCTGAGGAGCAGTTCCAGTGCTCCATCTGCCTGGACATCTTTGACAACCCAGTCTCCACTCCATGTGGCCACAGCTTCTGTATGACCTGCATCGGATGCTACTGGCAAGGAGTCAAGGTGTGCCAGTGCCCGCTCTGCAAGGAGAACTTCAAAAAGAAGCCTGAGCTCCACATTAACCGCACCCTCCGTGAGATCACCGAGCAGTTCAAGCAGATGAAAGGGGATGCCGGAGCGTGTGGAGGGCTGGAGTGGGAACGGGTACAAGGAAAAAGAATTGAGGAAAGGCCTCTAAAACAAAGACAGCTCTCAGGGGATCTCTTCCTTGTAATGAAACGCAAGCTTCTCAAGCCCTTTCCTTCCAAAGGATCTCAGAATGACAGTCACACAGTGGTGATAGAGGGAACCAATTCAGATATTATCCAGCCCCAAGAGCTCACAACGCGAGTGTCTCGGAGGAGGTACACTCTGAGTGGAGCTGCCAGTGCCATGAAAGTACCTCAATGTCCAAAACACCACCGGAAACTCGATCTTTTCTGCAAATCTGATGGAGAGTGTATCTGCTCTGAGTGTGGAGATACAGATCATCAATCCCATCAAATCATCTCTGCAGAAAAGGAGTGGCTGAACAACAAGGTGTGGTTCTGGTCTTCTCATGTAATGCAATTCTTTGTATTCATCGATTTTCATTTGAAAATCAGCAATAGAAAATAGTAGCATAGTGTAGCTTCTCATATGAAAATTGAATATGAAGATAAATCGAATATATTGTCAATATATTGCATAACAAATGAAATTTCGGTAACACTATTGAAGAGCTACATTTTCAATGCTGTGCAACACCTACATAAGCGTTTCACATCAACTGTCATAAATCTATATAAACATTTATGAAGGCCTTTTTCAGCAAGTGTCTGCTGTCATAACACTTTTTGAGGTAAAAAAAAACATTAGAACTTACAGAAGCAGTCTTTATGACAACTGATGTGTTGGAATAAGCATTTATAAGTACTTATGTAGGTTTATGTAAGTTGTGCTGTCCCTGAGCAAAGTGTTACCAAAATTTCTTCTAATGTATTTTCAATATTGCTTACAAACCTACCATACATAGTCTCGAGTGTTCACTGACCTCCTGTTCTGTCATTTCTTTTGTTCTGTTTTTACATTTCTCACAGACTCAGATTGACATCACAGAAACAAAGATACAGGAAATGATTGAGCAGAGGCTGAGGAAGGTTGAAGAGATCAAATTTTCACTGGCAGAAATCAAAGTAAGAATTAGGTTTCACTGTTTTGTTTATGAGACCTCCTTTATATGTATTAAACCACATTTTGACCTGTATAAAGGACCAATACAAATAGTTCCATTAATACTTAGAACGTGAACAATGCCTTAAGACAGGGCTGCAGGTTTTCGCTCCAAACAAGCTGAAGCACACCTGATTCTACTTGTTTTATTAGTTGGTTTTAGTCTTCAAACATCTCATCAGCTGACCTCCTGCTTTGTTGGAGTGAAAACCTGCAGCCACACCGGCCCTCTGCGGATAAGATTGGACACCTCCGCCTTAAGATGTTGATTTCAGATCTGAGTGATTCCACAAATGGAGTGGCGTAATTATTAATTAATTCAATTATTTTTTTTTTCAACAATGAATTTACAAAAACATGCATTTAATCATTCAAAACAAGTGTTAGCCCACCTCAGGAACTATATCTCATTTTATACAAGGTTTCTTTGCTGACAGTGGCTTAAAGGAGTAACAGAGTTAAGTATTTTTGCATGGAATTATCAAATACGCAAAATGTGGTTAGCTAGCATCCATACTCATGGCACATGGACATTAAGGATTTTTTTAACAATTAATTTACTTTCAATCTGTAATTTAGGTAACATGGTTGTACTTTCAAAGTGACTTTGTCCATCAATATCACTGAAAAACAAAAGTTGTGAATTTTGAAAATGTCTTTTACTATTACATGCATATTTGTAAATATCAGTGGAACATAAATGGTACACCAGTAATGCAATCTCCTGTTTACCTATGATGACTTGTCACTGATAAGTTTGAACTAATATTTATTTTTCCAGATTGCAAGCTCTTATTTTTAATTTCAATGAAACACAGTGTGGTCCCTCTCAAGATTTTTCATTTTGACAAATCTAAAATCTAATCTCTGCTTTCCTCCAACATCTCTTTCCATCCCCTCTGTTCTCTTTCTCTCCTCTATTTTTCTTCACCGCTCCTTTTCTTCCATCCAGATGGCTGCAGAGAGAGAGAAGCAGGACTGCATGCGTGTGATCGGGGCTCTGCTGAGTTCCATTGAGCACAGCCAGGCCGAGCTGCTGGAGGTGATAGAGATGAGGCGGCGTTCGGTGGAGCATCAGGCCGAGGGCATGCTCAGAGAGCTGGACCTGGAGGTCACTGAGCTGAGGATGAGGAGTGCTGCGCTAGCCAAACTGGCCCAGACAGATTGCTGCATCAGTGGACTGAGGGTAAGTGATAAATGCTTTAAAATATTTTGGCAGTTTTAGGCCTCAACATCATTACAGACTTACTCAGCAGAGATTATAAGCACCAAGAAGATTGTGCCTACTAAAATATACAATGGTGAGCATCTTCTTAGTTAGTAAAGCTTATATTTTGTCCTCGAATGGTTGTGGTACTGTTTCTGCAGTTCCTGATTGTGTCTTTAATGGTTAACATGACTGGTAAGGGCTGTTGATTACAATCATGGCATGATTGTAGTTAACAGGCAATCATGGCAACTTCTTTGACAAAGTTTCCACCTTATTCTTCTGTGTCCACAGAGCTACTCCGACAACAACACTCATCTGCCAGACAAAGACTGGACTGGAGTCTCAGTAAACTGTAACTTTGAAACAAAATCCATGTACAACTCAGTCTGTCAGCTGCTGGAACACTCTCGTGAGGAGCTTCAGAAACTACCTGAAATCTGTGAGACTCATTTGTGGTTTAGTGGACTACACTGACATCTAGTGGACACCATTAATGTTATACTTTTTAATTTATGGAGACAATAGGAAGCAGGAAGTTAACAAACTGCTTGATGAGGTGCCACTGGCACCTAGTGGTCAAAGTATATTACACATGTTTGAATAATGTGTTCAGGAAGCTCAGAAAGGCCTTAAAGAGGAGGCTCATTTATAAAACACTTGTTTCCTTAACTTGTCAAGCTTACTACAAAAATGTCTTGAAATGAATACCCACAGCAATAGTAATAGTCCTTTCCTACACAGATCTGTCACCATTAACTGATCAGTCACCACTGAAAGCACATCCAAGTAGGTACTGGTTAATATGGCAAAATGTAGCCAGTGATCTTTTCCCTTTTAATGTATATTTAACCGTAAATATACTTTAACAGCATTTTATTTTACTGTTTTGCAGAAGTCAAAACAATACAGGAGTATGCAGGTGAGTGTAGATTATTTGCTTTTCATTCTATAAGGTTTAAAGCACTGCTCCTACATGCACTAAGATATAATGTAATATAACTAACTGAGGCATGTCACTGCCATATAGCCTAAAATAACATCACAATTCCAGTAAACATTTCATATCACTTCAACAAACTCTCAAGCAACCAGTGGGTATATTCAAATATTGCTGTCAAAATGGTAGCCAACAGTTTATATAACTTTCATATACAATATAAAATGTATTATTTCTGTTGAAACTGGTTCATAGGGTTTCTGCATCAAATCTGTGGTCAGTTTCAAGGCTGTTTTTATGGGGTTTAGCAACTATCCTTTTAACAGTTGCATCTATTCCTGCATTTTCCATCTTCATCTATTCGTCTTGCAGTTTTTCCAATTTTTCCTTATTCTCCATAATTATCATGATTGAAACTGTGCTCCTTTGGACTTTGGATAATTTTGTCATTTAAGCAACTGATAAGGCAGATTGTTTGCTTTAGGATACTATTATTGCCCCATCTTGCTTGGAATGCTTGCATATCAAATGCTGACCGTAAGGCCTTCTCTGTAACTGGCATTCAACCTAACATATCTCACCTGCTCACTTGTTGCACACTTGCAATCTTCACTCAGTTTCTTGAAAGTTAATGTTCTTTTCTAGTGCCTATTATTTTGTCGACCCTCTTTAGAATGGTACTACAATCCTTACAAAAGCATTTTTGGTGTAACACCACCCCATTGTGTTTAAAGTATTAAAAACTGTACCCAGTGATCCTTTTGGCCAGGATCTTTATATCCTCTAGCTAAATAACAACTAATTTATACTATGACTTTTCCAATCTCTTTAATCAGTGGACGTCATCCTAGACCCTAGCACTGCCCATTCTCGTCTCATCCTGTCAGAAGACAGAAAAAAGGTGTGGTGTGGCGAAAAGCACCAGCATGTCCCCAATAACCCCGAGCGCTTCAACCGAGTAGTGTGTGTTCTGGGTCAAGAGGGCTTTACGAGTGGGCAGCACTATTGGGAAGTGGAGGTGGGTGGCAAGACTGACTGGGACCTTGGAGTAGCCAGCCACTCCGTAAACAGGAAGGGCAAGATAACATTCAGCCCCAGCAATGGATTCTGGCTCCTCTGCCTGCGAGACAGGACTAACTACACCTTCAGAACGGAGCCTTCCACCACACTCACCCTCAACCTGAAGCCCCAGAAGATTGGAGTATTTGTGGACTATGACAAAGGCCAGGTGTCCTTTTATAACGCGGAAGCTAAGATGCTCATCTACACATTCATGGACACTTTCAGCGAAGCCATCTACCCGTTCTTCAGCCCCTGCACTAACAAGTCAGGCAAAAATGATGTGCCACTCACCATTACACCTGTTCTGCTCCCTGACTGAATGATAAGATTATCATGGCCAGATATTACTGTAAATACTGTACAAAGATTGAAACATCTGTGTAATTTATATATGTTCTTAGGCCTTTCTGACACATCAGCTTTCACAGTTAAGTTAAATATGGTAACAGAATCATACTTAGGATTAGGATCTTTATATGACTTATAATATTCTTATAAGATTATCCAACCTACTTTGTTTTAACTTGTCTTATTCAATTGGCAGATGATTTTGCTTATATTATTTTGTGAAACTAATAAAATTATCTGCTGATAAAATTACAATTTCATTAGATAAAATAACTTAAAACTAGTTAAATAACAGTGTAAAACAACATCCTCATAACAAAAATATTTGATATATTGACTACATATAAGATGGCGGTTGCCAAGATATTATTTTCAATGCAATTTCTGTCTGGTTTGGTTTTGAATACAAAAATACAAAAACCAGTATGTATTCAAATAAATAAATAAGATGTAACATTTATACATATATTTATAACAAAACAATTTGATTTAATTTTCTACATTTTTTGGTAGCTTGTCAATAAAAGTCCCAGACTTAACAGGCCTAGCAGTATCTCTGTTGAAGTCTCTGTCCACCAGAGAGCATGCTTCCAATAGATTTAGCCTTCATATGTGATTTTTTTCAATGAAGCCTTATTTATATATTTATTTATCTCACTTACAGTCGTATCAGTCTCTCTTTCAGCGTTTCACTACAGTCAGTTGTTTTTTTGACACGTCAAAAAACTTCAGGTTAGTTGACAGAATGTACGACATGTAGTCTAAAATAGTAGAACAGTGAAACTGGAGAACACAAGCCTTGTCACACATACAAAAACACTTTATTAAAATATTTAATACTGCTTACTGTCGGGAATGGTTTCCTGCTTTTACATAAGACTCTTATCGCTGAAGTAACCTGTACTCTGTCCGGTTTTAGTGCGTTAAGTTACGTTACTCTTCCCACTGCTGTCCCTCCCAAAGCAAATCCTAACGGTATCCACTCAGGCACTCCAAGCTTGTCCAAGCATGTCGTAAGTAACTGTCAAAGACAGGCCCGGAGGTGATAAAACACTGCGAAGATATTTCCACAAGTGGCCACAAGGTGGCACGTCTTCTTGCATAGCTCTGTGTAATGTATCCTGTTCGCCTCTTTGAGGTAAATTCCTGTTTTGACTTCTCAGTAAGGACCCAGGAACGCAGGCTAACTAGTTAGTATCGTTCATTTAAGCTAAGCGCTGTTTTGAACTTCATTAGCTTCCGGTAGCAGGCTGAATGTAGTGTTAAAGTTTCTAGGTTCTGAAGTAAATGCTCTATGTTATATTTCTTTAAACAAAACTAAAAACCTCTTTTTGGGCTCCAATGCTAACCCTATAGGCATCTTGCTAAGAAAAGAAAATATAAAATGTCTTTTAAAGGTCACAGCATACTAAAATGTAGGGTTTTTTTTTAGATTTTTATGAAATACAAGGAGGTAAACACAGACTACAAACTAAAAATTACATAATAAAACAATTAGCAGCATAATGACATAAAGGGCAGAACAAAAGAAATAAATTCAGCAGTCTGATATACCCACCATGACTGATGTCTCTCTGCTGAATCTCTCGTCTGCTATAGCTTTTTCTATCAGTCAGAAATAAGACAGGAAATTAAAAATATAATGAGATAATAGATGAAAGATCAGTTAGAGACTAGCAGAAATGAACCATGTGCATGTGCTTGTGTGACTGAAAGACAGAGAATGTGTGAACAGTGGCACACATACCTCAATATATTATTTTTCGTTACCAATCAGCATTCCTCACTAATGCAGTTTGTGGGACTAGACCATCACCATAACTAAAAAAAAGACTGTAGTCATTAAAGGTGACGGATGTAAATGCCAACTAACAAACACTGGAATAACTCTGTTAACAGGTGGCAGCTCCACCCAGTTGTGTTATGAATCTCATAAGTACAGAAAAGCCTACGCGGCTCATTTTCATTGCTGAAAGATGAATGAAGTAAAGCAGGCCTTGGGGGGGTGGGAGGTAAATCTGGAAAGAAAAAAGGGCAACAGGTTGTTGATCAGGTTATTCTTGATGAGGCTGACATTTGCTCTTTTATCAGGTCCTCAGATGATGATCTTGTTCTGTGAACCGTTGGTGCCAGAGCGAATGAAGGGAAATGAAAGCACATGTTCTAAATGAAAGCAGACTGTGCACAAGAATAAAGGCTTGAAAATGTACAAAAAACAATATCTTGGCAAGTGAAATATCTTAAATTTAATGATTGTCATTATGGTCACTATGATTAATGTTAACCTTACTTCTCACCATTGTTCAAGCTATTTCTAGCCATTTTGACTTGTTTTAGGTCATTTTAGCCAATGAAATACTTTCACCAACAGGTAATTTTGCTTGCTGCAAGAAATGCTTGAAGACTGCTTATTCTTCTCATAATCTCATAATGAGAAATGATAGAGGTACTGACTAGATATACAACGATTTCACATGCCAACATGTCATATTTTGCAGTGTGCTGCTCAGTGCTGTACCCTTGATGTTTGGAGATGCTACGTTTAGTCTTTTTAATTATGTAAGTGCATTATATTTTTGCGTATCAAAAAAAAATAGCATGTCAAAAATGGTAACTTTACAGGAGAAAAGCAAAAATGGTCTTAACTTTGAAAGTAAGTTAATGTAAAGAGGTTTTATTCCAAGTGATTTTCGAGCATTTCTATTGGTCCATGCATCATGATTTTTTTATATGATGTGAAGGACTACTGCTGTGTCCAAATGATGGAGAAAAATTAAAAACACAAATAGATATTTATAAAATATAAAAATGGATATATTTTTTAATTGTATTTTTTTTTATATTCATAGTCTTCTGACAGTAATTATCTTGTCACACATGGAATAAATGCCTCATCTTTATGCATTACTTTCTTATGATAATTCAGACAATGTGTCTTTATTTTAATCCCTTCATGTCCAACACCTAAAATTAGTAAGCTAAGGAAAAATGCCACAGAACTTGTTCTGGTTGGTTTAAAGTGAGTGGTTGGTTTCAAGTAAAAGGCTGTATAGTTTTATCTTGGATGAACATTTAACAGTTCTCATTTTGAATTTCTGATTAAATGACCTTTCCAGACTTGTATTCACAGTCAAGTTTGAATTATGTATTGTTTTGTTACAAATCAACCCATGTGACCACAAAACTACATTTAATATGATAAATTAATCATTAAAAACTCAATTTTTAGCCATACAGTTTCATCGACTGGAAAGATTTCTTTACATTTGTGCCCAGGCAAGCTCAGAGAGCACATGAACCAAAAGAAATTTAACACTTCAGAAACAGACATTGATGGCTTAATCAATACTTCCTGCAAAAAAATTGAGACTTAATTATCAGCCAGCTAAAAAGAAATAGATAAGTACAAAAGTGCAAGAGACTCTGTTGAACCGAGAGGAAAAAAGAGAGGGGGAGGATGAGGAGGAAGAAAAATGGGGTAAACGTTCTGCCCCAACCACTCGGACAGCCTGGGCAACATACCACTCATTCTGCACACCTACACACTCCCTCTTTCCTTCTCTATCTCATTCCTTCTCACCCTCCCCATCACCACCCTCTTTCAGCCCTCTCTGTCTCTTGTCTTTTTTAATGCTAAGTATAAACAAGTTTCCAGGAAAACCCATGTATTGATATATAATGTACGCAATTTAATGCAAAAGTTTGAACACTCCTGGACAAATGAGGTTTTGTTGATTTTCTAAATGAAACAGTAAATCAATCTCTGCATGGAACAAACTTAAATATGACATTTTTCTGCAATCTTTTAGTGCATATTTTCTACTTACTCGTAAGTTTAACATATTGGAAAAAATAAAAGATAACATATAAAATGTGCCACATTTTATGTATTATTTTATTATATTACTTATTATGTAGTACTATTAAATTCAGCAAATAAACAGTAACTGTGCATTTAAATGTGTGGATGTGTTAACTTATTTTCATTTAGAAAATCAACAAAACATGTCATTTTGTCATTTCACCAAGGTGCCCAAACTTTTTCACACGACTGCAGCTTGGACACAGTGGTAGTGATATAGTGGTATCATCTTTGTGGGACATGAATGAGTGGAAACATAAAGGATTCAGGAGAATTCATGAGATGTTAATGCAGTTGATGGTTTGCTCAGAGGCAATCAGAATAAAAGGAGAACTGCATTTTTTAACATGGTATGGCGAGATTTACTAAACTACACTTTTACAGTGTAGTTCCCTTATTCGAAATGTTCATTTTCTTGAACTTATTATTTATTGAATTTATTGAAGCTGGGCAGCTAGGTTACTTTCTTTCTTTTTTAAGTTAAAAACAAGAAATGTTTTTCACGAAGTAATGTTGAATGAAGCATCTGTGATCTCTGTAGATAAATTATAAACCGCTTTTTTTGTCAAAAGTGGGCACAGAGTTTGCCTTGATTTACTGTCTTGAAAGTTGGGTTCACAGAATAAGTAATAAATACTGTCGTTTTCACTCGTGAACATTTCTGCATGGGGAAAATATTACATCGGCCACAATTTTGTCTTTTAATGCACTTAAGCTACTTTGGAAAATAACTGTGTTGATGTAATACATTTCCTGTTGAATTGATGTACTAATTTCAACATGTAAATTCAGTGTTTTTAAGCGTGATGTGTCGTGTTCTTACATATATTTCTTACATATTCAGTATCAGTTAGTTGCTCTTAAAAATATCTATAGAAACATCTGTAGTAATACTCTAGGGGACTACTAGATTTCTGCTGTACAACACTTAATAATGATGTATATTATTTTTGCTTTTGTATAGTATTCCTGTAGTACTGTTTTATGGAAATCTATAGTACACCTGTGCAGTGTCCTGTAGTAAACTATACTACTTGTCCAAATTTGCGTAGACACTCCTGTAGTGTTATTATAGATGGTGATATTCAAGATACAGCCTGTAGACTCCAGGTTAAAGTGGGTTTCATGGGTCTGATAGATGGTGTCTGATCGCCACGCCCCCTTGTTGGTAAGCAATGTTTTTACGGTTTCGTGGGGTCAACGTTTAAACTGTTATCGGTGTAGTTTCGTGCTGTCGCTCGCCATCTCCTCCAGACCTACTTCTTATGGCGAGTGAATATAGCTTCCTTGAAGCGGAATTGGGACTTGACGAGAGTGTGCGTGGGGGAAGAGAGAGAGAGAGAAAGAAAACCGGTTGGACAGGTAAAACGTGGAGGCAGGCCTGCCTGGGGTTTGTTGTCACCGTTATTTCCAGGCGCATGCGCGCTGCCACCTGTTTCCTCTGAAGTGTGTAGTCTACCTGCGCCGCTCTCCACCTTTGAAATTCCCCTCGACTGAACGGGTCGAGATATTTCGTACAACCGTGCTCCGTTACCAGAGACCAACAGGCCGCTCGGTAAGGGTCTCTTTTACACACCTGGACTTACAGAAGACACTGAGCGGTGGCCACACTGGTGGGGGGACGCCACCGGACCCTACCTGTAGCCTATAGGTACAAAAGTTTGTAGCGGGAGTTCGGAGGGAGGAGAGCCAGTAGCCAAATCCTCCAAGATTACCTTCATTTCTCGACAGCGCTCACCTGACTCCACCGTTCAAGACAAGATATTGTACTACTTATTCCTGTGTAGGTAGTTTATTCAGTCCAGTATTTATCTGGTCTGGTTTCGGAGCCTCCAGCTCAGCTGTGAACGCAGCAGAAAGATAGCGGAGAGAGACACACCATGCCGCGAGCTTTCCTCGTCAAAAAGCCCAGTGTTTCACCAGGCAAGAGAAGCTGGAGCGACCTGCCTGACCACGAGCGCGGAGACATCTACATACCAGGTAAGGGGACAGTAATTAGCACTCAGAATAACGGTGAACTCCACCGCCGAGTACAGGGCACATCAGCCCTGAGAACAGGACCTCAGCACTGTGACCTTTACCACCACAGCGCTTTAATCACCTGATGAAAGATATTTCATTCACACAGGCCTGAAAACTAAACATCCTTTATTTCCAGGGTGTTTTTACACCTAAACGGGTTTTATTTAAAGCATTTAATGTTTCCAGTTTAATCTGCGTTCTGTCTGATTTGAGAACTTTTGATGATCGTGTCCTGTACAGGTGTGTGTGTGTGTGTGTGTGTGAGAGTGTGTGTGTGGTGCTCGAGGAGCCGTTACAGTCCGCTTTAGCTGCTTCAGCTGACCTTCAGACCCAGTTCGGCCTCTTCCTTATGCGCGGTGTAAAACTCATTGCAACACAGAGTCTCGCCTTAGGTACGTTTGAGAAAAGCCTTTAAAACCGCCTCACTTAGGAGTTAAGGCACATCAGCCAGATGAGCTAATGAGCGGAGCAAACGAAAAAGACCTTTAAAGCGTTTTTCCGGCAGAGCAGGCAGGAGTTTTGTCGTCTTCTGCTGTGGCTATCAGATGACCTGCTGATTCACCTAACGGAATACAAGCAGCACAGCCCCCCTCTTTGTGAGCCCCCTGTCCACTCCCCTCATCCCTGAACACAATCGGGCTAATAATTGACCAAAAGTCCGGCTGGATTTAGGGGTGCAGTTAGAAACTCATTTCCGAACAGAGCAGGGATGCAGAACCTACATACACGGCTCTTCTTAGACACTTTTTAAAGAGTTAATAAAAGTGTTCAGTCTTATTGTTCAGCGTTTGTAGTTTGAGAAATGGCCCACTTTTCTGTTCACTCTAACAGGTATGTGGTATGTGAAGCTGCTGTACCTGTTTCTGTTACTGACGTCCGCGATGTTGTAGTTTCATTTCTCTCAGAATCACTATCAGCCCTAATGAGTGATTAAAAGAAAGAAAGAAAGAAAGAAAGAAAGAAAGAAAGAAAGAAAGAAAGAAAGAACATTTTGACTGTATGGCTTTCATTTCTCATCTGTTGTCAGGAGCCTATCAAAGTGCCTCTCGTGCTCCATAATTAAGCCGGTTGTTCTCTAATGGTGTTAAAAGCTGTTAATCGCTGCTGTGAGTGAAGGAGCCGCTGGTGTTTACAGGCTCCGTGCTCCTCTGCTGTGGGTTAATGAACAGTGGAGGAAATAACGGACTTCGCCGCGCTGTCGGCTCTTTCCCGCTACACCCTTAGCAAACATGGCACAGCCTGTTGGCGGGTAAACTCCGCAGCAGCAGCGGCAGCGGCGGCGGGCTGGGTGGGTTTGGCTCACCTTTCACCTCAGCCTCTCGCTCTCTCTCTCTCCTGGATCAGTGCAGTGCGGCTCGCTCATTGTGTCCTTTGTCGATATTAGCTGCTGCTCACAGTGCCTGTTTCCCGGTCGCTGTGTTTGTGTGAGGGCCGCTCAGATTTGTCTCTGCTCTCATTGCAGTTGACTGAACCTGTGGGCTGAGCGTCAACTGCGTCAA